CACTAAACAGGATGGCATAAAGCACCGCCCCAAATCACGCCCTGAGTCTCGATAACAAAGTCGCCGTGCCTTTCCCCGCAAGTATCGTGCATGCATTCGGTTTAATCGCTGGGGCCAAAAAACATCCAGCGGCAATGGGTCCCAGAAGTCGCATGTCACGGAAGGCAATGTTCAGGAAAGAAGGGTTGGTACCCACGAGAAATTAGGCTCCAGTGAATACAGCCTCGAGAGTTGTTCCTCTTGCACGCTCGCCGAAGCATGCGCTTAAAAAGGCGGCTGATAAATTAACAGCAGCCGGCAGCCAGTATGCATCTGGGAAGTTAAGTTAACAAGTTCGGAGAGTAGATTGGGGCAAAGTTTTTTCTTTTATGGCTTAAGGCTGAAGGCTATCAGACATGTCTTCAAACCCACTGCCGAGCTCCTTGTTGCTTCTCTGCCAATCCCTCGCAGTATGGCTCGACAGCCCACAAGCCCTCAAACCCGAAACCCTTTTGAACCTAAACCCTAAACCCTAAACCCTAAAGCCTGAAGCCCGAGCTTTTACGCCCTGACCGCTGGGGCCCGTACGCTACCGGCGCAGGGGCTGCTCTTGCCTGGAGGCTCTTAGGGGCTCTTGGCGGCATTAAAGTCTGAAGTTTCATGTGCACATGCGCGAAGTCAGTGTCCATTTATCCTTTTTTCAGAGCTTTCAGAGAGAACATAGGGTTTACGGCATTCGCTCGTGCTTTCTCCCTCTCCCTCTCTCCCTCGCTGACTGACTCGCTCCCTCGCTCTCTCTCTTCTTTTTTCTCTCTGTCTTGCTTGCTCTCTCTCTCTCTCTCTTTGTGGTCCATATTGGCCCCTTTGTGGACAAGTGCCCCTTTGTGAACAATTACGCAGACCGCGGTGACGCATATAACACAGCTCACATTCAACCCCGAGCCAAAGTCATTCAGAGGCCGGGTGCCTGGACGCGCAGGGCATTAACTGGGGAAAAGCTTACATTCTGCCACTAAACTCAGCAGAAGACCCACTCAAGCCCCAACAACCTCACGACTCAAGAGATTTCAACAAAGTTTCTAATAAGGTAGTCCACACTTCAAGGTTGCTATAAGGCCAGCTCAGACACACGAACAGCTCATCAGGGTTTAGGGTTTAGGGTTTAGGGTTTAGGGGCCCACCAAAACAGAGATCAATAACGGAACTTGACGACCAGTGAGATCGACAAGTGCGCGCAAACAGGTGCTCCCAGACGCCCACTTGCCTAGCCTTTGGCTGCCAGGTCTCTTGCAACCAGCCGGGTAAGTTGACACTTACAAAGTCTCAGGAAAAGCAACCCTGCACGCAGCACTCGTGGCTACTCCAGGATATCAAGGACTTCATTTGCCACTACAGCCTTGCACATCAGTACCCAGGCGAGAGATAGTAGGAGCGCCAGCCTATCTCTACCCCCTGACCACATCGCAAAGGCAACGAATAAAACCATCCAAGGGTTTAGGGTTTAGGGTTTAGGGTTTAGGGTTTAGGGTTTAGGGTATTAGGATCGAGGCATGGTTCAATCAGGACCTCCTCTACTTGGAGGTTCATGGTACTTATTCACCAATTATAACTGTGCTTATAACCCACTTATAAGCCCCTTAAGTGCCCTAATATGGTTATAAGTATATTTTATAAGTACAGTTAAGTGCCCTAATATGGTTATAAGTATATTTTATAAGTACGGTTATAATTGGTTAATAAGTACCATGAACCTCTAAGTACTCACACTCAGTGTCGGGGTAGAAGCCATCAGGCCATACGCCTTTCACAACACTCCACTTAACACAGCACGACTCACCACTCCAATCGTGCGCAAGCTTTCCCACCGAGCTATGACTGCGTAAGTACAAGAAAGTATTCAATTACAAACTTTGAATTTGCTGGTGAAACCCAGCCTTCTCAGTGATGAGCTAGATCTATGTTCATGTCCCTCAAAAAGCGACCTGCGCACTCCAAGGCACGACCAGCCACCCTCCTAAAACCTCCTAAGCCAAAACCCTGAACACCAAACATCTTTTGGGGAACACATGAACCCCATAAGGGTTTAATTCTGGTCCATATACCTTCATAGGAGTACCTGAATACTAGGAATTTAAAGCAGTGAGTTAGGGGTATATAACCCCATATACCTTAATGGGAATACCTTAACAATAGGAATTACAGCAGAAAAGGGCATATAACCCTGGACCCTAAACCCTGAACCCTAAACCCTACACGTCCCCAAGGTCTGGTTGCCTGGATTGTGGCTCGAGTGGACAGCTGAGTGGCCTCTCTTCGATGAAAGGAGGCCTGCAGATGCAGGGCTTAGGGTTTAGGGTTTAGGGTTGAGGGTTGAGGGTTGAGGGTTGAGGGTTGAGGTTCGAGGGTTGAGGGTTGAGGGTTGAGGGTTGAGGGTTCAGGGTTCAGGCTCAGCATTTGGAGTTCGGTCTAGGTCTACTCGCGCCCAGATAGGCAAGGCTTCAGAGTCACATGTGAAAGACTGGCGCCCCCTAGCCGCAACCGACCCACACGTGTTTGCAGTTCAGGATTTCCGGTGAAAGTGTATTGCGCTCACAGGGGTTAGGCAACCCTAAACCCTAAACCCCTAACCCCTAAACCCAATTCTTGCTTCAGATGGGACGGGCGTCGCAGCATCGACTACGGACCGGGGGGAGCAACTCCGACATCCAGGTCGAGCGGGGTGCTAAACGAGCGATGGGCGTACGCAGAGCAGATCAGGGACTGCACATTTTGAGTCGTAGTCGTGATTTGCCGGATGCCGCCTGTTTTGGCGTCTGGATGAAGCCTTTCGTGCCCTGGAAGCTTGGGTCAAGAGGGCGGTGCATGCGCGTTCGTGGGGTTGGGAGCTTCTTTCAAGCCCTTGGACAGACCTGACTGCTACGGCTTGAACAGCAGCTTTGGGGCCTTCGTGAGGAACACCATTTGTTGGGGCCGACACGGAAAGCAGCCTGTATCCGAGCAAGCCGGGATTCCTTGAGGCTGCTCAGGGCGTTTAGACATGCCGTTGTTGAGAGTCTTCGTGGTTGGCTGCACTGGGAAGGTTCCAAGTCAATCAGGGCGGTCATGCTCAGAGCGGCGGCATCGGCTTAGTGCTATCCAGGATGAGGTACGAGCTGGACCAGGCACTTTCTGTGAAGAGGCGGTCCTGCCCTTGTGAGAGCCTCTCGCATGGCATGGCTCACATTTAGTGCAGAGGCAGACTGATGATGTGACCCTGGAGTTCTTGGCCGGGCAACTGCAGGCTTTTCTGCATAAGCGTTTGGAGTCCGGTGGTGTCGTCCCGGAAGCGCACGCGTCGGCTAAGATAGCATCATTTTCTGCTTCGATTTGGGTTCGGGAACTTCGCTCTGGCGATGCTGCGTGGACGAACCAGCTCAGCTCCCGGGGACCCTCTTGGGGGCAAATGCGAATATGCGATGACGACAGACGGTCCGACTGTCCCATCACATCTTTGTATTTCCTCAGTGTGAAGGCCCGACCGTGATGCCGTGACGGCAACTACCCAGAGACTCCAAAACCCCTGAATTAAGGAATATACCGTAAATCATATTAGGGTTCGGATTATAATTTAAGGGATATTGCTTATAATGAAGGGGTTTTGGAGTCTCTGGGTACTAGCATCCGTCTTATCCTGCGGAAACTCCCACTTCATGACCTGGCCTTCATCTCCCTATGTCTTTCTGCATCCGAAACCCTAAACCCTAAACCCTAAACCCTAAACCCTAAACATTCCCAAAGGCCTACGCTCCAAGCCCCGGGCGCTTACGCCGACGAAGGCGAAGGCCCCTGAGGTCAGCCTCGATGGTCGATATTCCAAATTATGGTCCCTTTTTGGCCGTTTTGGGATTAAGAGGCGGCTCCTTATGTTTAGGGTACCCGTACCCCAAAAAAAGGACCATCATTTTGAGAAATGACCATATTGAGCTTGATTTTGCAACCTGCTTAACTGACCTCAACGCACCGATGCACTAGGTTTTACAGTTCGGGCTCATTGCAGGATCTGCCTAAACCCTAAACCCTAAACCCTATAAACCCTATATTTAAACCCTATAAACCCTATAAACCCTATAAACCCTATAAACCCTATAAGCCCTATAAACCCTATAAACCCTATAAACCCTGAACCCCTACACCCTAAGCCCTAAGGATCTGAGGATGCTGAGGTCTGGATGGGCAGGAGGAGGCAAAGTCTTCTGATACAAAGTCCAGTGTCGAGCTTCAAACTCAAGAGCAAGATGCTATGGGCTTTGGGTGGGCGAGGTTACCAGGATGGGCTATTAGGCCTTATAATCCCCATAACCAACCCTATAAAGGGCCTTTTTAAGGGATTATAAGGTATAGTAGCCCATCCTGGTAGGGGGGCATCAACGAACATGTGCATGAGCGCACCTTCCCGAGTGGGGACCCTCATTTCGTGAACCTGTGGCCCTTTTGATCGACAGGGTGTCCTGGAAATCCGAAGCCAGATCTATTAGCATTGGCGAGTGCCAGAACTTACAGCAAGGTTTCCAATTCAGCTTGCTTCCATCAAACTCTTGAGTTCTGGCAGATGGTTGGTGTGTTACCCTTTCTTGGCCTCAGTAGTCAGTTATGGCCATCCTGCTTCCAATCGACCGATTCCAGCTGCATTTTGCGTCACAAGGCCAGCACACAAGTTCCTCTGGGGTGACAAATCACGGGACCTGCTGACTAGAAAAGCCTGTAGCCAGTGCAAGGTCCCCGCCCCCTGACCCAGAACGAATCTGCTGTGCACCAGCCATTCACAGGATGGCAGGCGTCACCTGCGCGCGATCAATTCTGGAGACCGTGATGTCCCTGAAGCTTTACGAAGCTCACTCCACCTTGCGGGGCACCTTTGCGAATACCGCCTCCTCCAAACTGCAGGTCCATGGCACACTGGTGTCCAGGCCCGATGTAGCATGGCATGGTCTAAACATAGTGAGCTGTCGCCTCTCGAAGTTCGGGGCAGAAACCTGGCGATCTTAATCATCGGTCACGAGCTTCGGCAGGTCTTTCTTCTTCTTTGCCGGCACCGCTGCTGGGACTGCTGGAGGGTCTTCAGTGTGATCAGGCTTCGGTAGATCCGGGCGCGGGGGTACACTGTCACGGAGTCGCTTCTGCAGTTGCCGGGGGGGCTGCTTGCTCATCTGGGGCCGCAGGACCTCGCGCAGTGCGAGCACGAAGGATGCACGTGAGTCTTTCATCTCAGCATCTCCTCCCAGGAACTCCCAGTCTCCGCAGTAGTGGAAGAGCTGGCCCTTCCTTGGAGACCAAAAGAACCCTAAAAGGGTTTATGGCTCATATACCTTACTATTAGGAATCATAGTAGCATATAGGGTATATAACCCCCCCATTTTATGGTTCCTATCGTCTCCAAGGTTCCCACTGGTGAAGAGCTCCGGGTCGAAGAGGATTCGCACCTGCCCATCCAAAGCTTTCTTCACACTCTTCGGGCTCTCCAGCCACGGCAGCACCTCGGTGTCTATCGGGATCCCATACGGCTCGCTGTGGTAGACGTAGTCCGTCACGAACTTCCTTGAAAAATGAACCATAAAATGGGGGGGGGGGGGTTATGTACCCTGTACTACGATAATTCCTATTAAGGTATATGAGCCATTAACCCTTTTAAAGGTCCCCAAGGTTCTTCTTGATGAAGATCTGCAGCATCTGACCGCCCAAGCGATCCACCTGCAGAAGGGATGTCATTTGGGATCTTCCCCCTTATACTAGCAGCCCTGACTCGGGATGATAGTACCCCCTATTAGAAGTAGTATAAGGGGGAAGATCGCAAGATGTCATGCTTAGAGCTTGGGTTTTCACATCTCGGACAGGCGAGGTTCGCGGCTCAGGGCTACCGCGCAAGGTCTGACCAAACGCATTAAATGGGGAATATAGATCCCCTAATGGCAGGATCCACTAACAACAAAGTACCCCGAATTTCGGAAGCCCCCCCAACTAATCAAATGTTTGCACCACGGGGCCTTTCTTCTCTCAGTGTGGCCATAGCCTGCCACATGTAACCCGTAGCTGGCACCCACCTTCGCACAAGTGGGTATATGGGAGCATCGACGATGCAGGCCATATCCAGAAACCCTGCCCCAACTGTGTACAGTAGGTGTCTATATGGGGGGATGGGTATTCTGAGCCGGAGGTGAGACGGCTGGCATTGGCAAGGTCGACTTCATCGAAGCACTACCGGAGCGAGATTGGCACACACTCCCATTGTGCCAGAACGGAGCCCATTCAAGAAGCAGCTTGGAGAGGGATCCTGGCAAACCAGATAAATAAAATGCGCCTCGGCTAACTTGGCAGTGAGCTTTTCTGCCACGTCCTTCTTCAAGTCAAGAGCCTCCTGGAGCAAAGCTGTCCTTGGCTGTGCAAGATACACAAACTAGCATTGGCTGCAGGGTCTATTGAAGACCCCACCTATCAGTAAGCCCCAGTAACCGCTCGAAAGATCTACAGGAAAGGGACTCATGACTCCAAGATTCAATAGCTTTTCCATGGGGTTTTCAGGAGAAGAGAGTGAGCAAAAAGAGCTACAAGTAAACTCCCTTTATAATATTAAGGCCTTTTCATGCGACTCACAGGTTACTTTGCAAATCTTATGAACGAATCCTCGAAAACCAAGCAAAGGAAAGTTGGGAAAAAAGACGCGAGTTTATGATTCACTTCTTTGTTGCGTTCTTTCTCTTCGCGCATGTTAAATTATTATCTTCTATTTGGTGATCTTCGGATTCCATGGCAGGACGATATGCCCACCACAAAAGTTGCCCCCCCCCCCCCCCCCCCTGGCATTCGTTCATGGCCTAATTACGCGGCCCCGTCATGGGCATGCAGCTGTCCGTCAGGATACAACTGTTTTGCGGCAAATCCAAGACTATACATGACGGGAACGCGCTACTTTTGAGCGATGCGGCATGGACCCTCGTCGGGACTTAAGTTCAAAGAATGTCCTGTGTCACGGGTCTGTGTTCTCGTGTTCTCCTGCTCCCCTAGGTGTGGCGGGAAATGTTTTGTAGGTGTTTTACCTGTAGGAAAGCTAACAGATGTTGAGTTTTTGGCAGCATGACCAGGTAGGTGTGGCGAGTTCCCTTCACCCCGCTTCGCCCCCATGTTTCTGTTTCGGGCTTTATTTAGGGTGAAAGGCGTAAGGTTTCACAGCTAACAGCAGCGAACGTTTCCACGTAGGGCTTGAGGGTTCTCAGTCGGTGCCACACCTCCCTCCCCCATCTACTTTTAGGGCCGAACTAGGGCTCATTGCTCCCCTCCGTCTAGGTTTGGGGTACCCTGGTTTGGGGTACCCTACACCCTAGACCCTGGACCCTAAACCCTAAACCCTAAACCTTATCAGGCCCAGGGTTTTGTTCAGCCAGTTCTCTGTTTATACCAACTCGAAGCACTCAACTGGATCCCAGGGTTTAGGGTTTAGGGTAGTTCCCAAGCCCTGACTCAGAGGACTAGATCCCAAATGCCCCAAAGAACTAGGTCCCAAAATAACTCAGAGAACTAGGTCCCAAAATAACTCAGAGAACCAGGTCCCAGATAACTCAGAAAAACTAAGTCCCAAACAACTAGGTCCCAAAATGCCTTAACCCCTAAACGCTAAAACCCTTAAATCGGACTCAGGCGACAACAGCCCCTGGAAGGAGAGGTCCTCACATCCGTAGCCGGCGCGGAAGCAGTGCAGGGGAGGTGCCTCACAGAGGAATCCACGAAAATGGAGAGGGTTTAGGGTTTAGGGTTTAGGGTTCACGGTTTAATCGCTCACACTCGGACAAGCCAGGCGAGGCACATACCGTCTCGGAGTCTGATTGAAGCCCATTGGGCACTCGTGATGCGAACATCTGCCATCAAGCAAACCTTATGCTACTTCGGGTGATATTATTGGGTGATACTGCATCAGGAGAACCCACTTGGCTATTTCCGGCTCTGGCTCACCTCAGTACACGACGTGATCATGCCCTGCTCTTCGGGTCTTTAAGGCCGGCATCAATGCCTCTACTCGTTCTGCTAGGGCAGGGGAGGAAAGTGACCATCTTAGGGTTTTAGGGTGACTTCCTTGCATGTTGCGTAATGCAAGAGGATGGTCTAGCACGTGCACGCAAACCTTTTTGCAGCCAACGCTTCGCACCCAAGACTGCAAAAAAACCTAAGTTGAGTCCCACACTTCTCGAAACTCTCCAAAGTTGAGTCCCACACTTCTAGGAATTCTAGAGATTCTGTAGCATCCAAACTTCAAATTTTAGTCACCTTAACCACTGAAGAACTGGGCCCTGACTCCGTGACGCCTCTGAGCCAAAGGCAAAGAGCGTGGGAGAGGCTGAGAGGCCTTCAGCGACTTGTGCTTCAGACAACAATATGGTAGGTCTGGCTTTGTGATTCGGGAGAAGCTCTGTAACTTCTGAGCTTGAAGCTTTCATAGTTGGAGTTTGCTTCCTACAGCTACCCCAGGCCCTAAACCCTTAAAGCCTTAAACCCTTAAACCCCTAAACCCTTAAACCCTTAAACCCTTAAGCCCTTAAACCCTTAAACCCTTAAGCCCTTAAACCCTTAAGCCCTTAAACCCTTAAACCCGTAAACCCTAAACCCCAAAACCATCACCTTATTGAATACTTAGACCTGGACCCGAAGCCCCGAGCCGCGAAAACCAAGAAACCCACGACCGCAAAGAGCCTTTTGAGACCGACCTTGTGGTGCCCCACTAGGGTTTAGGGTTTAGGGTTTAGGGTTTAGGGTTAGTACGATTTTGTGCCACCCGTCAAGCAGACCAGCCACAGTGCGCACACTGCAGGTTCGGGATGAAGGTTTAGGGATAGATTTAGGCAGACCTAGAGCTGAACGAACCACACCTCAGGGACTCCGACAGGGTTTTGGGGCTTAGGGCAATGTGCCACAGCAACTTCATACATCTTCGTGGAGCCCGAACAGCACACGCACCACCTCCGGAAGATCAGTTGGGTTCCAGCAACAACGATGCAATCTTGCAATTCTGACAACCCCGGACCCAAGTCAAGACCTGCCATCCCTGTGACCTTATCATGACAAAGGCGCCCAGTGAGCGGTACCAGGGATCATGGTCTCCGTGTCTACCGGCCTCCTTCAACTTACCTTGGCTTCAAGGATTTAGGGTTTAGGGTTTAGGGTTTAGGATTTAGGGTTTAGGGTCTTGTCCGGGGCTAGCAGACCTAGTCTTTCCTAATGATTGAGCTCAACTCGTCAGTAGTCTTCTGGCGCAGCGGTGTGCAACTGATGATAACAATTTTGTAGCATTGAAGCATGTCAGATGCGGCTGTCCCAGAAACACTGCATCAGCTATCGGCCATAAAACATATTTAAAAATATTGAAAAAAACATCGGCCATAAACCATGTAGAGATTAAAAAACAAAGAGACATGGACACCAGATTCAGGTGAGTTTCTCAAGGTGGCGCCCTTGAAGTGTCCGGTCAACACCCGTGGGAGGGGCGCCAGGTTGTCGGGCAACGAGAACGCGTACCTTGCGAGCTCCGCCTGCTCAAGAGTGGGTTTAGGGTTTAGGGTTTAGGGTTTCAAGAGTTTGGGAGGGGCATCGAATGTACTCGCGGAAACCTGAAATCCCAAGCAGGAGCTCTTTTTCAGGGTTTGACTGGTCCAAGTTAAACTGCTCAGGTGTGGGCGGGCTCGAGAGATTGCAAAGCTTTGGTGTTCAGGGCTTAGGAAAGGAGTGTTGCTCAAGCATTTTTTCACGTAGCGCACCCCTTCCCTGCCTGGACTTCATAAAGCAGGGAGGCGCTGTTGTAGTGGTGATAGAAGACCTGGGGTGAAGTTTTCAGGACCGGGCTTCGGATGGTTTGGGGATTCGGCCCTGTTTCCCATGGGACTTGGGATTGGGCGGCCTGTTTCAATTTTTGCTCTAAGCCCATTTTATTGCTTCCGGCCTCAACTGGTAGATCAATGTCAGTCACTGAGGAACCTGGACGTCTGAGCTTTTCCGAGAAGCCCACCCCCGCTCACTTCTCCTCAAACCCAAAACCCAAAAACAGTTGCAGCACACCCTAGCCCTAAACCCTAAACCCTAAACCCTAAACCCTAAACCCTAAACCCTAAACCCTAAACCCTAAACCCTAAACCCTAAACCCTAAACCCTAAACCCTAAACCCCAGGCATGCCGAGCAGCGCAGAAATCCCGGTCCATCTCTTGCTCCTGACCACGGGTCATTTGAGGGTTTAGGGTTTAGGGTTTAGGGTTTAGGGTTTAGGGTTTAGGGTTTAGGGTTGTCTCGGGGTTTGTGGGCCACGTGCGGGATCCTAGGGGGGACATCGGAGACGAGTCTTCCTGGGCTTTGGTTCCTGTCATGACTGGGGGCACCCCTGGATCCTAAACCCTAAACCCTAAACCCTAGCAACCAGAATGTTCCACGGGCGACCAAACAGTCGACTGTTTGGGGGTAGTTTGTGCATTCCGCGACTTTGAGACGGAAACCGTAAGAGCTCCGAGCTGCTCGCTGCAACATCCGCTCAAAGCAGACAGCAGCAAAAGCGCCCGTGTTGTCATTGCCCACCTGAAGGATCGGATGATCGGGGGCTGTTACAACCTGAGGCTTCTCGAAGATTTGCCAGCTGTATGTCCTCACTCAAATCCGGTTGCAAGGGCTTAGGGCTTTTGGGGCTCTGGATTTGCGGGGCTTCAGATCCTGGTTTAGAATTTCTCTCGTTGTAACGCGTTCGAGCAAATTGCCTCCAAGCTCTACAAGCTCGCACTCAAATTCTTCAAGGACAAGGACATGCAAAGCAGCCGTCTATTTGCTCGCAGCCACATGGAACAAAATCTTCTCGGCTGCAGTGCAAAGCTCATCCTTGGGGTATTGCAGCGTGCGGAGAGACTGGCCTGAGCTCGCAACGAGGCTGTTGCTTCTGTCTTCGGGTAAGCGCATGGTCCCTGACTATGGGCCCTTAAAGGGGACCCCTTATATACCCTATAATAAAACCCAAGGGCAAATACTTCAGAACCCTTTAAAGGAGGTAAGGGATAAGGGCTACCCGCGGGTAGGTTCTGGTCCAGGGTATCATGAGCTAGGGGTATTGGGTTGGGAGTGCCAGGATACGGATTAGTAGCGTCGGGCGCAAAGCATCCTACATGCAAGCATTTTGTTCACTCTACCGCAAGCCTCGCACCTAGAAGAGCAGCACAATCATGTTTTGATTGGGGAGATATGAGCCCGATAATCTCATTCTTGCTTGGGGCCCTGGCCCATCGTACCTCCCCTGCACCATAGAAGAAGAACAACCAAGGCAGATAATCAACAATGTCTTGAGCCAGCAGATGCTTCGAGCCAAGATATTATTGACCTGTAGCCGGAAAGCCGGAACCCTTGAATTGAATCTGCCACTATATTGGATGTCTACATCACATGCGACCTGTTCAGCCAAGAGGCAAGTCCGCTCCGTGTTGACCTGCGGCTTGCGAAGCTTTCTGAGATTTTCTGAAAGAGCCTTTGTGGCAGCAACTCGGCTCGACTACTCTTTTTCGACGCATTGATTCCATGCTAACTTCGGTACAAGGTTTTCATCGGCAAGCCCCTGGATGTGGCGCTCATCCATTTCGCAGAAACACGAAAGGCTTTTGAGCCAACTTGGCGGCTCTTACGCCTGGACTGGGGTTTAGGGTTTAGAGTTTAGGGTTTAGGGTTTAGGGTATTGCCGTCTGAAAGCTTGCCGGAAGTCGACACCGAGCAAACTGTAACAGATGAGGCAGAGCCGTTGGCTGGAAAAGAAGATGGTCCTGAATCCCTGGAGCATAAGGTGGATGATCTTGTGGGACTCGTGCAGGAGCAGGACAAGCTGCTTGTCCTGCTCCTGCACGAGTCCCACAAGATCATCCACCTTATGCTCCAGGGATTCAGGACCATCTTCTTTTCCAGCCAACGGCTCTGCCTCATCTGTTACAGTTTGCTCGGTGTCGACTTCCGGCAAGCTTTCAGACGGCAATACCTCCCCTTTTCTGGGAGTGGACCCACCATTGGAGTCCTTTGTCAATTCATCTGCAGCAGGCAAATTTTCTTCCACTGCAGGGTTGTTTGATTGGTCATCCACGGCAGGCACATTTTCTTCCACCGCAGGCTCCTCCAACAGCGTATAAGTCATCTTCTGACTCCTGCCGTATCCTCGCTGCTTCCAACTCCAGGATTTCCTCCTCATTCATCACCCCAGTAATGGGCTCATTTCCATCTGCGTCCCCAACAACGAGGATACTGCTTCTTGTTGCGAGTAACAGGCGCAGTTTCATCCACTTCTCCTGTCAGCAGATCGCCACTTTCAGTCGCGATGCTCACTTTGTTGCGAGCTCGCTTGGGAACAGGGATAACATCCCCAACCAGCTCTGTCTGGCTTCCTTGTTCCACCAACTGTACTGTAGAGGAGCTTGCGTCTGATACTCCCGTTGACCCAGCAGGTTCCATGGAACGAAGATCAAGTCCATGTTTGCGCAGAAGACGCAACAAAACCACTTCCATCTCGTCTTCCACCTTTTCTACCACCGACTTCTCTTCGCCACGCATACCACCAGCATCAACCAGAGCTTCCGCATTGGGAATCATTTTTTGACCAGTTGCAGACCTCTTGTCGCCCTTTCCACCTTGATTGCCCACATTGGGGCTCGATGACGTAGTTCCGGTCTGGAGCCAGCTAGAAGCCATTGCTTCGAAGGCTTGGGACTACCACCCTGAAGCCTAAACACAAACCGCAGGGAACCTAATTTGGGCTCATAACCTACGGGGGGCAACCAAAGGGGGAACGGGATCAACCCCAAAGACAGCCCAGAACTTATATTCCCCAGATCGACCAACACAACAAACCCAGAACACGGACTAGGAGAACCAGGGAAGGGAGTAAGGAGGCCTACGCCTAAGCTAGAGACCAACCTCAACCCCAACCACGCGGGCTCTACCTCTTTTTTGCTAGTGGCCTTTGTACCTCTGGCCATCCTTGAGCCAGATATTATCGGGCGCATTGCACCCTTTTCTTTAAACCCCAACACAATTCCTGAATACAAACTGCAGCTCCGCATAGGGTTTAGGGTTTAGGGTTTAGGGCCTTCACGACCTGAAGCATCAACGAGAATTCCTAGCCAGTTGACTGCGCCCTTCGGAGCAACTGGGTGAACAAGAACAAGGAAGTTTTCATCAGCGCCCGCGGCCTATTCCTCCAAAGTGTGCCTTATAAGGAAGCGATCAGATCAAGATAATGGAAGGGTGACGGGCCGAGGGAATGAGAATGAAAACTCTTGATGCAGCATGTTGGAACATCAAAGGTCTGTGACGAGCTCGGGCCACCGAAAATTCTAAATCATACACGAAGCCGCAAGAGTTCTTTGCAGAAGATCAACTGCAAGCTATATTGTCAAGGCTATGAGATCAAAGGGAAGGGCTGCCGCTGATGTTGTTCTCATGGTCATGCACCTGGAAGCTGCGACGCATCAAGCTTTCCCGGCCGTTCCAAAAAGAGCAGGCGCCTGGCATTGGATCTCCCAGCCATCCGCGGTGCGAGCGCCCGGCACAGCACATCCCTGAGAGTACAGGCTTGAGGATCCTGGGGTATTGTCCAATACTGTAGAGGCTATACAGGGAGTCGTATCGGAAGTCCTCTTTGTGAATGGTCTCGAACGCCTGGAGATGGTTAAGATTTCTATCCGCTGCTCTCTGCGACAGCCCGAGCATGGCTCTGCCTCAAAGCCTTCAGACCCTTTGAGGCAAGTAAGTCCTGAAGCCCGAAGATGCCCATAAATCCCACCCCAAACCCTAAACCCTAAACCCTAAGCCCTAAACCCTAAACCCTCAACCCTAAACCCTAAACCCTAGCCCTAAACCCTAAACCCTAAACCCTAAACCCTAAACCCTAAACCCTAAACCCTAAACTCAATATAATTCGGCAGCTCGGCCTGGCTACTGTCTGTGGACCGCTTCTGCTTCTCCGCCTTCTCCTCGAGGTCCTGCTTCCTGGCTGCCTCAGGCATGGGGTTTAGGGTTTAGGGTTTAGGGTTTAGGGTTTAGGGTTTAGGGTTTAGGGTTTCGGGTTTCGGGTTTCGGGTTTAGGGTTGGGCTTTAGGGTTCAGACTGAGTGGCGCGGGACTTGCTGTGGCCTTGAACGGGTACTCATTCCACGAAACTCGTCTATGGAAAACAGCAGAACCTGTAAAGACATGCTCTGCAACAAAGAGATCGGAATCAGAAAAGTGGCGGGGAGACGTCGAACACTTACTGTGTGCAGCTATGTCAGCCGAGGAGCGGCTAAAGCCTCATCCAGGGCCACGCAGTCAGGCTCTACCACAGTTCCCAGAGCATCCAGCGCCCGCCTGCCCTGGACGTGTGAGTTTGCGGCTCGGCTGAATGTTCTTTCGCAGGGTCCGCGAGCAGGACTGTGCACTACGCAATGGGGAGGGCGATAAAGTTGCATTCCAGGCAAAGAAATCCAGCTAGATCTTTAACATGAGACTGATGAGATTTGTGGGTTTCAATCTGTCTCGCCCGCATGTGCCCGGTTATTTTAGAGGCCTTTTCCTCGTCCACCACTCGCTGCATGGGCAGGGAAGGCTTCGGGTCACTCGTCGAAGCCTGAGCCGCAGCTGGTTCAGGATTCGTATCGCAAGCACATAGGTCACGTAAGTCACATTGTGCTGTTTTCCAACTTTCATTTTGGCCACAACCCTAAACCCTAAACCCTAAACCCTAAACCCTAAACCCTAAACCCTAAACCGGACATTTTGTGACTAGAGACTATAGGGATGACCAGAGCTAAGCCCTCGGCGGGCTCGGCCTCAGCAGTCTCAGGCGCTGCCCGCGGCGCGTTGGCTTCCGGCGCTTCGCTCTCAGCAAGGGCTGTCCTCCAGTAAGAGAACGGTTCGGGTTGAGGGTTCAGTCGCACTCTCGCACAAGGCAGGCAAGGTCCTAGGGTTTAGGGTTTAGGGTTAGGGTTTAGGGTTTAGGGTTTAGGGCAACATTTAGCATCCAAAGAGCCAGGCTGGAATCAAATGCCGGACACTTGGCTAGCCTTCAATGGCCCTGAGGCTTGCATCGGCCATGCTGCGTAGCTTGAAAGCATGAGTCGTGACAAGTTTCCTCAAGAATTGCGAAGCCACATCCAGGTCACCGCACTTGGCGGCTTCGCTGACCTTGCTTGAGGTACAAACCTTCAGGCCGCCCTGTCTGTTCCTGTATGGGCCTTCTGGCGTGGGTAGGGCATAAAAGCAGACCGAGCCCTGTAAACAGCAAGTGGCCACAGCCCCATACGTTGAAAGGTCCCTGGTCACCAGCCTTGCATCCGGACCCCGTGAATGGGTCCCATGAATAGTTGGGGATCCCGGCTAAGCATCTTTCAGCCAAGAGGCCATCCGTAAATCTGCAGAGGGGAAAAGGGCAAGAAGCGCGAATCGCAGCTCTTTGTTTGCCAGGTTTGCTGATGACGGCATGGCGGCAGGTGAAAAAAATCGACAAGTAATGATGACTGGCGACATCAAGCCGAAACAAGCCTATCATCATGGCATGCAGGAGGCATCATCTAGTCTGCAGGTTCCAGCGTGGTATTGAAGCCAGTGGTTCAGCAATTCCACGACTTCGGGTCGTGTCTTCATGGATCCGATGTGTTGCAAACCCGAACGCTGGATCGATGAAGCCTCTCCCGGATGCGCAGAAAGCTCTTTGCCAGATGGAATGCCGTAGGCCCTGCTGCCATATGCCCCATGCCATGATGGGCCACGAGCCTCCAGAGAGCACCTTCTATCCTCTCTGCAGGCTGTCAGCACATGATCCGCACGCCCTACACTTGAACGGAATCTTTCTGATGGATCGTTCCGATTGAATTTTCCTCAAGAACTGCCAGACGTTGTGACAAAGCTGTTGAAGGCCCGCGGCTGCCCTAAACCCTATAAACCCTAAAGTTGATCAGCCCTTAAATCCTTCCGCAAACACCTCCCGCACACTAAGCCCTCACAACGTCACACTGCCTCCAAGCTCACGCAGATGTAAAACCAAACGAGGCAAACTCAAAGCTCCCCAAAACCCTTCAGCAGCAAACCCATACAAGTCCCGCAGACCCTCAACCCTAAACCTTAACCCAAACCCGAGTTGGTGCCCCCACAGGGCCGACAGGAGCAGCAGCCGCGACCTTCTCTGAGCAGGCAGGGAAGCAAGCAGAGGGTTCAGGCTTGCCTGCCATGGTTTGGGGAAGAGCTGGGAGTGTCAGGAAATCTACATTGGCTAAACGGTATGGGACATAGATGGCTCTAAGGCTTTATAGCCTCGAGTGTTCTGCTTCTGTGTTTTTTGGGGTGCGTGTGTGGTGGTGGGCCGGTGGGCGGTCGGGAGCAGGTGCCCATGCAGCCGCGCGCGTGCACGAGCGCGCGTGAGAGCTGGCTGTTAGGTGTGCTGTGTGGCATGTGTGCATCGTGGGTTATGTTGCGAGTTTGTTTGTTGCGTCCGTGTCTGGGTTGGGGGGGAGAGGACGTTGGCAGCACCACAGACGTCTCAGTGACTACTTTGGTAGCACACCAGAGCGATTGCTTCCATCGATGTCAATAGCCTTCAAGCCCTTGTGCTCTCGCTGCCAGCCAAGCCTTTGAAGCTACCCTCGACTAAGCCGGTGCCCTAAGTTTAAACTTTAAACCTTCAACCTTGTAAACCTTCACACCTCAAACCTTTGCAGCGCGAGTCAAGCTTGTTAAAGAATGGCTCTGGTGCACCTGGATGTGGAGTGTGCCCTTCCAGGCAAGTGGCCTGGCAAAGACCAGGCCCACCAAATCTACGTTCTGTTGTAGAAAAGGGCTCACCCAGAACTCCCATCTAAAAGGCCCAAGCGCCTACATCCTGAACAGCAACACTCCCTAAACCCTAGACCCGAAACCCCACACCCTAAGCCCTAAACCCTGAATCCCCAAGGCCCTGGGGTGCAGAAACAGTCCGACGGGGACGGGTGGGGCTCCAGAACAAAGGGCGCGACCCTGAAACCCGACAGTGAAACCATCAGCCCATCTCGGCCCTATCGAAAGCATCAAGGCGTGTGCCGCCGAATGTGCACTGTACACATCTGTACCAGCACACTCATCCCGCCTGCCCGCGACAGCATCATACTCGAGTTCTCGAGGGCTGGGGGGCTGCAGAAAGTGGAGCTCTCTATGGACGATGGTAATTTTTAGAGGCAAAAACCATTTTCAACCCTAAGGCGAGAATGCGATCTGCAGAGGCCCATGCTTGCCTGAAGAATGTGAAGATCAAGACTCCGATCGCTACCGATGAGCCTACTGATGGCCTAATGAAAGCCTCTCATGCATGTCTCAACTTTCTTTTTGTCTTGCGGAAAAAGCTGCAGACCAGCAGGCAAGCGATTCCTTACAAACCATGTTGCATGACCCGTGGCACATGCTGTGGCCAACACGGAAGCATTGCTTGCAGGTCACAATGGTCCCGGTAGGGGCTCACGACTGACATGAATGATTGGGTCGCAAAAATGCAAAAATGCACTAGAAACATTGGTGTCGCCATTTTCGTTTGTGGCCTGCCCGACAACCTCAATTGCAGCCCGGCAATCGCAAAGACAACCTGGCCCTGGCCCCCGTCCGCCTCCCTGCCCCCCCCCCCCCCCCCCTCACCCTCCCCTCCACCCCCCTAAACCCTAAACCCCAAACCCTAAACCACTGTTAAAGGCCCCCAAAACTTCCTTTCTGTTTGATGCTGCGGAGCGGAACACCAGATAGTCTCTGTGCATTCTGTACCTGCATCAAGGCAGTTCGAGGTCAATCTTGGTGCTTACAACGAATCCCTCAATGCTTGGTGCCCCTGAAACCTGTCAAGTGTCTTAGACTCGTCAAGGTTCACCTCAAGATTGCTGGTGTTGCCAGGGCACGTCTCAAAATTTCGGCGCCGATTCCACTCATCCTCCGCGGCCGACAATTTGACACGCGCCCATCTACCCCACCGCGAATCAGCGAATTCACGCGAAGACAATCGGCCGCGACCCTCGCTTGAGGCGGCCAACTAGAGCAGCGACATCGGCTGTACAGTCGCTGGACAAAAACCGCAGGGCGACTTGCCAAGAGACTTCTTGGGAAGCCTGGGATTCAAACACTCAAACCCTCCTGGCCACTCACACACTCACAGGTGAGGACTGGCAATTCGAAAGCGGAGCTGTCACCTCCCAGACCACCCGAACAGCTCTCTAGAAGACCGCGTGCCCACTAGAACAGCCATGGCTGCAGCAATAGGAGCTGGAGGGCACCGGACAGAACCGATTTTGTCGAGCTCTCCAACCCTGAGAACATCCGGTAGTCAGATTTGAGATGCGCGACTCATTGCACCACCGTTCGAGGGGCCCACCGCACATGACCACATCCACTTTCGAGTGTGTGTGTGTGTGTCTCAGAACTCCTCAAGACTCCAAAGCAAGCACAAACCTTCGACCGACCTGAGCTCCAAAACGCAAACGCTGAAGACGCTACGCCATGTTACAGCTGCGCCCGCCACCAGCTTTGAAGCTCATCTATAGGGAGCACGGGGGCGCCTTCCTCGGACGCCCATCAGCTCTGCCTCGTTGTGCTTAGGAAGGTTCGAATAGAGGTTGCAGCCCTCGGTGGCCTGAAGGGGGGGGGGGGGGGGGTTTAGGGGGTTTAGGGTTTAGGGTTTAGGGTTTAGGGTTTAGGGTTTAGGGTTTAGGGTTTAGGGTTTAGGGTTTAGGGTTTAGGGTTTCGGGGTTCAGGGTTTAGGGTTTAGGGTTTAGGGTTTAGGGTTTAGGGTTTCGGGGTTCAGGGTTCAGGGTTTAGGGTTTAGGGCAGGCTGGGCGTGAAGGCTTCAATCACTCTTCCGCTCTGCCGGCTGCGAAGATGCCCCAAGTGTCAAGTACTAGAATGCTGCCAGAAGCCCTAAACCCTAAACCCCAAACCCTAAACCCTAAACCCTAAACCCTAAACCCTGAACCCTGAACCCTAAACCCTACTAGAAACAGGCCTTTCTCTGGTTCACCGTGGTCCGAGACGTCCCGGGCACCTTCGAAGAGCCAACTTGCTTGTGGTGGATTCCATTGCTTTGAGGGCTAAGGGTTTAGGGTTTAGGATTTAGGGTTTAGGGTTGCTAGCTGAAGAATGACTTTCTTAGGGATGTTGTGGGTCTTTCAAGACGATTCACCATAAGCATTGCAGCAGTTGCTTTATCCTGCGGAACAGGGTGGGAGAAACTTCATTGGGAGATTCAAAGGCTTTCGACCGGGCGTCAAGGTTTTGCAAGCAAAGTAAGACCATTGATCGTCAAAAGGCCTGATATTAAATGAATTTTCACTGCTGAGCAGACCACAATGACGGCTACACTGCGACCGTTTCAGAACTGAATCAAGCCTCGCTGGACCGAAGTATGCAGTAAGCACGGGACTGATTTACGTGACGCTTTCCGGCGCTCGTGTCAAGTGAAGCGATGCTGACAAATCCTAGTTACATGCGACAGTAGCCACCTGCCAGGATCGGCCTTATAATCCCCATAACCAACCCTATACAGGGCCTTTTTAAGGGATTATAAGGTATAGTAGTCCATGGACACTGGCCATGCGCCTCAGACTGGATCTTCATCGAACTGCTCCAAGCCATGCTTCAGTCTCCACGCTCTGCTCTATCGACCCCCAATCCCCAAAACCCTGATACCAGGATGGGCTATTAGGCCCTATAACCCCCATAAACAGCCCTATAAAGGCTCCTTTTTAAGGGTTATAATAGGGTCTAATAGCCCGTCCTGGTACCCGAGGTAAACAGCACTCTGAGCCAAGCGCGACGCGCACAACCAAGCCCTCATCCTGTAGCGCCTCGTGGCTTCTGGGGAACAGGTCCCAAAAGCCCTCAATTAAGGTATATACCCTAATTCATAATAAGGATCCTTAGTATAAATTAGGGTATACTCCTTAATTAAGGGGTTTTGGAAGATCTGGGTCTTTCAACATTTCACACAGCAGGGCGGGGGGGGGGGGGGGGGGGCTGTGGAAGACTAAGGCAGCAGTGTACAGCGTTAAGGTTCGATAGGTGCTAATGGAGGGGATCGCCCCGCATGCCTTAGAAAATCACAAGAATCTTGGCGGGATCAAAGGGGTGCTTCGAGGTCACCTGCATCGCGTCAAGCAACTCACTCTCCCTTCCATCCTTTAATTCAAACATTGCCGCATATTGCCTTCGAAACAGAGCAGCGCCTTGGCTTTCCGCACAGCTTCGTTGTAGTCCTCGTTTGCCATCACGACCTTGGTAGCTGTTGGTGGCTTCGTCTTCAGCTGCCACCGCGGCATCGGTGTGTAGTGCGGCATGGCCTTAAACACTAAACCCTAAGCTTTAAGCCCTACACCCTAAACCCAAACTTCAGGTTGCCAGCTGCTAGCATGGGCTCAGATCAAGCGATGGAGAAAGCCGTCAAGGAACCGTGTCTTGTCTACAGAGCCTCTGGGTCCATCGGGCTTCTTAACTTGAATAGTTCATACGAGTACTTGAGAAAATAGAATCTACAACTTCTACAATCAAGGCAGCTTCGCAATCAGCAGCATGGAGAGCTAAGCAGGCTTCGAGGAATGATGACTGAACACGAAGCTCTAAACCCCAAGCGGTGGCACACCTGGCAACCCAGCAAATTGAAGTATGCAGGGTCGCTCTGTCATTCCGATTCCTGTGTTTAGAGTTTAGGGTTTAGGGTGTAGGGTTTAGGTTTTTTTTTTTAGGGTTTAGGGTTTAGGGTTTAGGGCTGCGGGGAAACCGAGACCCAGGTTACATAGAGCATCTGGCATCTAGTCGATGAGTCGGTGGCCAAGCGCCCAGCCGCTGGATGCTGGATTCTATGACGTCCCCACCAACGCGTGCCAATCAAAAAAAGGGTCCCTTTAACCAACCGTGAGCAAGGGAAAGATAAAGAGAGAGAGAGAGAGAGCGAGGGACCTCAATCTATACATATATATATATATATGTGTATACATCATAATCTGTAAGCTTGTAGGTGTGCTTCTTTAGGCTCTAAGGCTCTAAGAGTCTAAGGTTTAGAGAAGAGTCTAAGGATTAGGGTAGGCGCAAGCTACTCCTTCCACCCGAAAGACCCAGACCAACAAATGCAAGTAAGGTCGAGGCAGCCATAGGCATACTAACTAGGGTCGAGGAGCCTTAATCATTAGAATAGGGCGTTGGGGTTATTGTCGTATACTTATGTAGGGACCATAAGAGAATAGTATAGAAACTATTCCGATTGGACGCGCTTTGAACCTGTACTCTTGATTTGAAACTGCAACCAGCATCCTGCCTGGTCTGGGTGGGCATTGACGCAAGGACTTGTGCTTGAGTCGCATCTACACACTAGCTGGCATTTGACCATTCCGCACAGAGACTGCGCTGACTGTGTTAGCCAGATGTTCTTACTCCCCTTGTAGGGCCAGGACGCTTTCTCTCTTCCTAAACCCTAAACCCTAAACCCTAAACCCTAAACCCTAAACCCCAAACCCTAAACCCTAAACCCAAGTGATGTGCCGGCTCCATGCAGAAAGCCAACAGCCCCCAATGGAGGAGGGCTCAGGGGAACAGTTCCCAGTCGACCAGTTTCGCACGCACACATCAACACACGACATACTGTTAGAAGATGAGTACAAGCAGTTATATAGCCCATACTTGAGAGGCAAGGCCTGAGTAGAATGAAGCTAAGTAGGATGGACAGCAAGTTGTTCGCTTGGCGTGCCAATATTCTGCGCTCTCTGTTGCGACGCGGAGAACTGTGCGAGACCTGGGACTCTGGAGCGCTCAGGCGGGGCCGCTGAAGCTTGGCCGTGCAGATGGCGCCTGATACCTCAACATGCGCTCTGCAGGACATGCCCTTTGGCGACCGTCGATGTTTGGTGCCCCGCAGGCATGTGCAAACTCTAGCGTGCCTATGTATCAAACCGGGATGCAGGACTCCCAACATTCCCAATGCAGAGGTCAGCCTGTTACAACCCTGACTTAACCCAGATCTTCCAAAACCCCTTAATTCAGGTATATACCCTAATTCCGAATAAGGATCCTTAGCATAAAATAGGGTATCTTCCTTAATTTAAGGGTTTTGGAAGATCTGGGTTAACATGAGCCAGGCATGAGCCATCCAGACCACTGCGGTAGCGTGGCGTGAGTTCGAAGGACCTCGGCTCTGCAGACCCCCCCAAAAACCTTAGGGACGAAACCCTAAAATTGGGGTCATGAATACCCTAAACCACTATCATTCCGATATGAGCCATGAACCCTTTTAGGGTTTTGGTCCCCAAGGAAAAGGGTACCCAAGCTGATCAGTAAGCCGTCGAGGAACAAGGAAGGTGCCTGAACCCCACAAGATACGACAGTCATTCTATTCTCATATTCTTGTTATCGCATTATTCCATTAATACTTAAGTTATATTCCTTTCTATATGAGCAGCCGCAAAAATCTTATGTAAATGCTAATGTATCATTCGTGGGGTATCGCTTGTGGGGGGGCCTTATCGCTCAATGCTACTGCGAAAACCTATCGCTTGACTGCTTATGAGATCCTAAACCTGGAACCCTCCCCTAAATACACCTGAATTACTAAACCCGTGTCCTTTCTTTAGGACCTGTAGACTAAAGAGTGAGAGTGCTCCTTTTCTAGGAGCTGGAGCTTTCGCTTCTCGAATCAGAAATCCAAATCCTAAACTTCGAGCCCTCAACGTGGGCAAGGGTTTTTGCCCGGCTCTTCGGGTGGCCATATGGGTATCGTAGGGTATCGCTTTGAGTATCGCTCTGGAAGACCCAACCACGAAATCGTGACATTGTTGCAGAACGACTTCGAGATTCAAGATTGAGGGTATCACTTTTTGGAGGGGGGGGGGGGGGCCTATCGCTTTGCGAGGTTTTAGGCACGAACGTGGATTTTTATCTCCACAAGAAACCTCCTACAACGTAACAAAAAGTGGTCGCTCATATAGTAACTCGTATATTCTGATGTCGTAGATCCTAGTCCCCAAAGCAGTACAGCTGCGCTGTGTTTTCTTTCAAACAAAATCTGACATTATATACGAAAGTATAGTGGAGCATGACTACAGCGTTCTCCAAGGCTGACTCGGGTTGCCCGCCAGGATGCGGCTTCTGTGCGCGCGCCAGGCGCGGCGAGGGCGGAGATGGCGAACGCACCAGCCGCCCAGAAGTGCCCTGGGTTTAGGGTTTAGGGTTTAGGGTTTAGGGTTTAGGGCTAGGGTTTAGGGTTTGGGGTTTGGGGCCCCTCTCTTCGTAGGCTTGGCAGGGGTTAGGCGAAGACAAGAGGGGCATACGATAGCGCTGAAACCAGCAAAGAACTTCGGGGCATGTTCAGGAGGGTGCTTTCGCTGCAGCTTTACATTAGGGACTCAGTTGCATGTTGAGCGTGGGGCTCAAGAGCATGTTTCTCCCTTGGTGCTGTACCCAACATACAATCTTCCGAAGGTTCTTTGGGGCCTTGGCTCGGAGGTCAACTCCGAATTCTTTGCACCCCACCTCCAACGACCCTGCTGTGAACAGCCCGGTTTCACGAGGGCCAAAAGAAACTGCCTAGACAAGGCGTGAAGCCGCGTGAAGCCCTAAAACCCTAACCCTAAACCTTAAACCCTAAACCCTAAACCCATCTGCGCGCGGGACTTCCCGCCTTCGCTGTGCGCGTGCTGGGCATTGGAGGGCTTGGGCTGCGGCGCAGGTTGCGCCTGTGGTAGAAAGCTGCGAACAAAGACTTGAAGCTTAGGTTTTAGGGTTTAGGGTTTAGGGTTTCGGGCTACCCGAGAACCTACCCTGCGCAACAAAAGGAACTGCAGGGCTCGAAGCCCTGTCCAGATACTAACAGTCCTTCATAGGCTGGGATGTTCCCTCTTATTCCTATGAAGGTATATGAGCCATGAACCCTTTTAGGGTTCTTTTGGTGTTACAGGAACTTCGAGAAGTGAAGTTCCGAGTTGAATTGCAAAGCCGGATTTCGTTTTGGAATGTAGGAGATCCTGTGCTGAAGATCAACCTTGGGGAACCCTACTGTAAAAGGGTTTATGGTTCAGATACCCTTATAATAAAAAATTATCGTAGTAGAGGGTGCATGGTCCCAATTTTAGGGTTCATTTTGGTCCCAAAAAAAACTTCAACCTTCGACTCAGCGTTTTCAGAATGGCAGGAACATCCTGTATTGATGCTCAAAAAAAACGAAAATCGTCACCTTCAACTTGCGAGACATTCTTCAGGTCAGGTACGAAAAGAGCCTTCATGTGAAAGGGCACCTTCCATCCCTAAACCCTAAATTTGAACCCTAAGCGCTGGGTTTTTCTGCGAAAATGAGTTTAGGGTTTAGGGTTTAGGGTTTAGGGTTTAGGGTCCATACTCTCGAGCAAGAAAACAATCCAAGAGGCGCGGCAAGGGGCGACCCAACACGGCTGGGTGCCGAGGCTGCGGCAGTAGAGAGACACCTAAGCGAGTGTTTAGGGTTTGGGGTTTAGGGTTTAGGTTTGGGGATTAGGATTTAAGGTTCAAAGTTGCAGAGAGGCATTGGGTGTCTAGGGCTTTTTGGTAAGGCCATACGGCTTCCGGATTGCTTTTTGGCCACCTGCCCTGACTGCGTACCGCACTGCAGAAAGAAGATCGAGGCATAACGGCATAACCTGAGCAACTTGTCAAAACAATTCCTCCAGACATTACAACCGTGACAAGGACACTCCACAAATCATAGCCAGTATCTGACAATAACAACAATGCAAGCACAACCCACGCTGGCCAACACAGTCATGTGTTCCTTTACCAAAATTTCAGGTTTCAGGGTTTAAGCTTTTACCACCTGAATATCGTTGTTTTTTTTTTGCCAACCCCAACCCCCCCCCCCCCGACCGGGCCACCTAGCTAAGTGACTACTTTCTTTGGCGTTTGGGTTCGGCTCCCTTTTTCTGTACGGGCAGGGAATGAACAAAAGCGGCCTGGGGTCACCTTGTGGCCCCAGTAAGAGCCGTGCTTCGCGAATTGGCGCAAGCTGACTCGCCCTTTGACGTCTCCGTCCAGCTCCGAAAAGAGCCTTCACAAAGGGAGCTGAGATGAGGGTGAAAAGCTCAGCTCTGCAGTTTATTTACAAGGAGGGGCCCCCTTACCATACTAACTATAGTTAAGGGACTTGTAACCTATTTTAGGATCCTTATAACCCAATTTAAGGCACTTCGAACTCTACTTATAACTAGGGGGGCCCCTCCTTGTACCAGACTCCTTGAGGCCAAGGTTAGAAAAGAGCTTTTCCAAACCCAGATCCCCTCGAATCCCAATCCAACTCACTGCATAGACTAGAGTCAACAAGATCTTCCGATGTCTTGCAGCACGCAACCAATGGCTCTCCAAACAAACCGACGCCCCAACATAACCCCAACTCAGTTGCCACAACTCCAAGGGACAGGGCCTCCTCGTTCGGTGTTCGGAGAGGTCCGACAACCCGGCATCGGCGAGACCTAGGTGGCAACGACTTCCAGAACTCCCCGTGCCCGCAGCGACGCAGCATGTGTGCTCGTGTCTGCCTTTTTTGTCTTTGGGCATGCCGGGTGATCACATAGACCCGCGGATCTAGAGGGTAAGATAGGTCGGAATAAGTATTTGATAGTATTCCCTCATGGTCCCTATATAGCTATACTACAATAGCCCCCGAAAACCCTACTTTAATTTTCAAGGCCCTCATAACCCTAAACCCTAGACCCTAAACCCTAAACCCTGAACCCTGAACCCTAAACCCTAAACCCTAATGAGAGAAGTTTGGGGACGCACGAGGACCAGCCAAGTGACCGTGGCTGAGGTCATCAAAGGTCATGAAGCCGTCGCCTCAGAAGGAGGCCAACACGACATGCCACGTGTGCCTTCAGGGTTTTACATTTTGTTCATGGTTTTTGGCGGTTTTCGGGTTTAGGGTTTTTAAGGTTTTAGGGATTTTAGGGTTTATGTTTGTTTTTTGCCACCTGCCTCGCTGGCGTCTCTCGGACACACTGCGGGGCACTAGTCTGGGGTTTCGGGTTTAAGCTTTTAAGGTTTTAGGGTTCTAAGGTGCTAGGATGACAGGGTTTAAAGGAAGGTTGACAGATGTTGACAGCAGGCGGTTGCATCAAGGCTTTGCCACCTGCACCTGCGGACGCACGGCCGCTGCAAGCTGCACACTGGAGTGCTTGTTTCTCTGCTGCTTTTGGGAATAGCATGCTCTGAGGCAGGTTGAACTGCTTCCAGGGATCCAACCTGATGCCTGTCCTCTTAGGTGCCATGACTGCTGGTGGCGACAAGAGGGGCAAAAACATCGAGAGGACACCACAGTGGCGACTCGTCGGGCCCAATGTGCAGGACTCTACGACTCTACGGGGCATGTCACCGTAGTCGAACGCTCCAGGGTTTGATGGCAGAATGCTGCCCCACAACTTCAACACCTCTTCGCCCGCTTCAAGGACCAGGCCCTCGTTCTCCCTCTCCGCGGGACGGTCAGCCGAGTCAGGCTTGGCACGACTTCGTTCACCTTAGCCAGTCTCTGCTCCATCTTCGTTCCGTGCTCTTAGAGCACCACCACAATCAAGAGTCAAAGGGCTCCGTGAGGATGACTTGATCATATATTGCTGGTCACGGCGACACGTCATCACTCCCTCCTCCTCATGGTGGCAGGGGCTGAGACATCAAGGTTTCACCGCGGAGCCTCCAGAACTCCTGGAGAACAAGAAGCGATCTGCGGTAAGGGCACTGGAGTGCTGGACCTCACTTTGCTCCGGGGACACTGCTCTGCTGCCGACCCTTCCTCCAATCTGCGCTATTAAGACTAAACCCTAAACCCTAAACCCTTAACCTTTAACCCTTAACCCTTAACCCTATATATCCAGCCATTGCGAGCTCCAGCGGCCATCTTGCAAGCCAGTCGTACCCTTAACCCTTAACCCTATATATCCAGCCATTGCGAGCTCCAGCGGCCATCTTGCAAGCCAGTCGTATCTGGCCAAAGCCACTGCTGACCAGCTTTTCCAAACTTTAAGGTCTTGCTTTACTTCTCCCCAGCACGGTTGCATGAACTCGGATTCGCGAAAGCGCTTTAAGTTGCATGCTAATGCAGTATTTTGATGTATCATGGCTCATGGCACTACCCGGCCCTCTGGCCAAATTTGCGATGCGCCTGGTGATCCACCTTTGCGCACTCCTTGCTTTTGTTGTGCGATTGCTGGGTCCGATATGAAGTTCGCTGAACCGAATAGGGGCAGCAAGCACTTCATAATGCCCCAAGCGTAATTACAAGCAATCTGATAAACGTCATAGTAGTATCGCAAGTGCTGACATGCCTCACGGCGAAAAGGACATGCTGCCATTCCCTGCAAGAAGTGGGGGTCTGCTCGTTGCCGGTCGATGCGTCCTGAAGTGCGGAGCCAGGCACAGTTCGAGTCGAAATTGCGGAAGATGTTCGCCAAGGAACCTGCAAACACATTCAGCGGGCACTGCTTCGAAGATCAGGATGTGTGCTTGTTGTTGAAGAGCATGTGGGGTAGGGCTGGGTGGATCAGTCAACCCCTTGTACAGAGGTGGGCATATCCATCGTTACCAAAACTGCCGCTCGCAGGTGCTGCTGCTGACGTCTTCATAGCCATAAGCCACCCTAAACCCTAACCCTAAACCCTAAACACAAGCATTGCCATCGGCTCAGCCATGTGAAAGGGCACATGTAGCTTGGGATTTGGTGTCCTAGCGCAGTTCTTCCTCGACCTGCAAGGCTCCAAAGGCATTCTTGACACATCTACCAAGGCCTCCAAACTTTGGGAGGAGGGCATCCACCTCAGCTGGTAGAAGATGTGCTGAGAGCTACTGCTTTGATGATCTGCTGATGATGATGATGATGGTGGTGATGATGATGATGACGACTCTTTTTGGTGTACGGGGACGGGCTAAAAGCAAGTCTGGATCAAAATCGCCTGCCCGAGTCTGTTGCAGGGAAGCTCCCATTGGCGGACCGCCAGTGTGGGGGGGGGGGGGGGGTGGGGAAGGGGGAATTGCCCCACCTGCAGCCAAATCCATCAGCCCCCCTGACGATGACACAGCGTACGCATGCGAATCAAGCAGTTAGCCACCAACATCACACTTGACGTGGCAGGCATCGATGTGCCAACCACCCAAGAGCAAGGAAGCAAGGTCTAATTAACCACAAAGGGCTTTTGGGGTGTTGGGTTAGGTGTAGTTAGCGCCCTTCTCTTCCTAAAGCCTGGCAGGGTCGGGAAAGGGGTGCGCGGCCTGTTCGCCTCCCAGCATACGGCATATTGGGTCTAAAAAATGTGCTGAGTCTGGCACAATTTCCTCGTTGGTCCACTCCTGCCCCCGAAGACAAGAGAGCCAGAGCATTGGGGGAGAAGGGTCCGGGGATTCGAGCGCGAACTTAGCTTCCCAAATTTCCAAGCTGGGCCTCAACTGGACCACCTGACCGCTGGAACCTTTTCGAACACCCCAAAGCCTCTCTGCAGCCTTCCGAAGACGCACCCTGAGCTTAGGGGCTTCTGAAACCTCCTGCAGACCGTGGCCAAGACTGTGCCATTGACTCGACCCCAGACTTGCCTCCAAATCCAATATCCAATCGCCTTAAAATCGAGGTTCTAAATTCTGAAAGCTATTCTTGTCCGAGCATGAGAGTCAAAACCTTAGCCCCTGAACAGCCCTAAGCCCAATTGCACCCGAACCACTGGACCCCCGAACTCGGCCCAGCGCCCGATCCTCGCAAGTGGCGATGGGCTCTGACGCGGCGGACCATGAGGACCAGCCGCCGAAGCCAAATGCGCGAACCTTGGGAGCATCTGGTTGTTTATATTTGTTGTATGATCAGTATGCGGAGCATGCCAGCAGTTACATGTCATTTACAAGCACGTACCTTGGAGACGCAAATCAGCCACTTTCGCCTCTTCAAGGGATGTGTTGTGCGACAAGACTGGCCAACATTGTCCGAGCACTCGGAAGACGTAGGCCGTGTATCGCTCCAGTGCTTTCACCTGCAGCTTCAGCTGATGGTTTCGGGAGCTGCTTTGGGTCCTGGGCACAAGGGAACCGACCCCCCAAGGTCCAGCTACGAAAAGCCAGCAGCTAGCAGCAAGTCAGCATCGTGTCGGCATGTGGACATGCCTTGCTGATTCCCAAGCGGCTGCTTGCAGACCCTTTAGCTACGACACGGGAAGCATGTCACCAACTGATCTGAAATCTCTTGCGTGTCTCTTGCCCGAAATCCCTCCCAAAGCTGGTCTCCAGACACGTCAACCCCAGATCTTCCAAAACCCCTTAAATTAAGGAATATACCCTAATTGATACTAAGGATCTTTATTATGAATTACAATAGGGTTTAGGGTTTAGGGGTTTTGGAAGATCTGGGACTATAACTCAAAAGCAAAGCGGCCACTAAAGGTGGCGACTTGGCTCGGAGGATGCGCTCCTCCAGCAACTCTTTGGGTTTAGGGTTTAGGGTTTAGGGTTTTAGGGGTTAGGGTTTTAGGGTTTAGGGGTTATAGGGGTTTAGGGTCTTTGGCTCTTGTCCGGGCTGTCGGATTTCTTGCGTGGACCGTTATCGAGCTGTATAGAGCTTTTCTTTTTAGTCGTGCGAGCAATGTTTGGGCTCTGCTACCTTCGGCTGAAGTTGCAGTCTGGAAATGAGGCTCACTCTCGTTACAACTGAAGCAGTTCCGCGCCCTTCTATGAAAAGATCACGACCTTAGGGACGAAATGAACCCTAAAATGGGGGGGGGGGGGGTCATATACCCTACACTACTAGAACTCCTATTCAGGTATATGAGCCACAAACCCTTTTAGGGTTCATTTGGTCCCGATACTCTTTGCTGTTCTTTGCTCAACCGGTGGATGCTGTCTAGGCGGTTTCCTCTGAGCACTGAACCTTGGCTTGGCTGCACTTAAGAGGGAAGCCATGAATTAGATTTTTGCTGCCTTGTTAGGAAACCCAATAAACCCAAAAAGGCTAAGGATCTAAAGTTACGGTAAAGCACCACAAAGTTGGGTAGCCAACCCAGGCAGTGGAAAACGGTAGGTTTAGGGTTTAGGTTTAGGGCTTAGGGTTTAGGATTTTGGGTATGGTATAGGTTGTCCACAGAAACCTCGTTGATCTTGGGACAACTCATTGACCCCGTCAAGCTCAAACTTGACAGGAGCCGGCCCGTGCCTCAGTGCCTGGGCGTGGATCCTTTGCCGCCCGAAAAATTGCGACCTGTTGGCAACGACCGCTTCGGAGGTTTAGGGTTTAGGGTTTAGGGTTTAGGGTTTAGGGTTTAGGGTTTACATGTGGTTGAAGTCTTGGGCCTTTACCAGTGACTGTGGGGTCTCAAAAGCCTATGCGAACTCTGCACGCTGTCATGTCTGTGTCGTGAGGTCGAAGAAATACTGTCTGCAATTATTCCGGCCCCCTATGGTAAACCTGAAGCTTGGCCCCTCACAAAATCACGAAACGACGGATGTTGGCCGCAGCCCGCGTTTGGCGGCCTCCCAGTGTCGCGGATGTGTCACCGCTTCGGCAAGCAAGGCTTCACCCCATGTGACCTCGACAGAGCGTGGCTTGGGTATGCGGGGGGATGTACACAATCCCTGGGGACGAAAAGAACCCCTAAAAAAGGGTTTTATGGTTCACACCTTACTAGGAATTATAGTAGCATTGGGCATATGACCCCAATTTTAGGGTTCATTTCGTCCCCAAAGAATCAGAAACGAGCTTCAGAAAAGGTTTTGGGGGCTGGCCCGCGTGAAGTTGACCCAAGATATCAAGACAGCGACGCTCACATCTTGACAGCGCGCACGATTATCTGGCATGTTCCGATACTGAGGTGGCGAGTAATGAACGACATGGCAAAGGCAACATCAACTTGCTGAAGGGATGGAGGAGTCTCTAGGCTTTGAGGTCGAAGAGGCCTACCAGAACTCGTGGCAACGAAGATGCCGCAAAGCCTCAAGAAACGAGTTCCCGAACCCCTCGAGACTCTGCAGCCTGTCAATGGATGGACAACGTCGGAAGGTCATCTTGGTTGATCCCACTCCACCTCGCCATCCTCACCCCTAGATGCCCATAGATCTTAATCAGGGGTAGAAATCCAACCCGAATAAACCCTAAACCCTACACCCTAAACCCTAAACCACCCTAAACCGCGAAAGCCCGGAGCTCAGTGCCTGGATAGTCCGGGCGCTCGCGGCCGTCGCCCGTGGCCGCGGAGGCTGCAGCGGTGGCGCTGGCGCCGTGCGGACGGGGGGGGACCTGGATGGCTTGAAGGCTTTAAGGCCCAAAGGATCCATGTAGTAGATACTTTTGGCCTTAAAGGGGTTCCTAAATAGCAGCTTTAGGGGCCAAGCATATACCATATAGGTAGGGAGGGTTTTAAGCTTAGAGGCTCCTACTTTGTGGCTTCGGGTTCGAAGGGCATATTTGTCGATGGGCACCTGCGCGACACGCTGACAAGTGTTACGCTCAACCTCACAGCAGGCACGCTCAACGCTCACTTGCTTCTTGCATTGAGTTTACAGTACATGTCGCATACACACTCCGCAGACATAAGCCATTGTGATCCAATCCCCAAGCCCTGTGCAGACATGCAGCCATTCAGAGTGCGGTCCAACACCTGCTGCGTTGCCTGAGCTCTGTCAAGAGCTTACAGTGTGTCACTTGTAGGTCGAGGGCGCTCCATGCTAAATGTTGCCGCCTTGTACAGGCACAAACAGCCAGAGGTGCGTGGAGCCATCTTATTAGCGAGCCTGAGCCTCGTCATCGACTGGAACGCATCTCCTAACTACCAGGTACCGGAGCCTCTCACTGTTTAAGTCCAGGAGTCCCCCATCAAAGCTTCTCGAAGCACGTGCAGCATGTTAACATGTTGTCATCAGCCTAACAGGCCTAACAAAGCAATGCCCCTAAACCCTTTTTTAACCCAGGACTGCTGAGGCTCCGGCCTGAGCCCCTAAACCCTAAACCCTAAACCCTAAACCCCAAACCCTAAACCCTTTTTAACCCCTGGGCTGAGGCCGGGACGCGCGTATCATCCATACACAGGCAGAAGAAAAGAACACGAACAGAAGCTCCCCATCAGCACTGGTGACTGCCAAGGAACTACACATTGGACAAGAGCACTGCCAAGCAAGGCAGGAACTCACGACAATAGCACGAAGCTCCCCAGCGGTTCTGCTGACCACCCAGGAGCTAGATATTCCAAACACGAGTGAAAGCTCGGCGTGCCTCCCTATGAGACAAGAGCTCCGCCGAAAGTATGACTTGAAATGACCCTTTTTTTTGCAACAGGCCTCGTGATGCAGCACCCTAAACCCTTTCTACCGCTGAGAGTCCCAAGCTCGAAGGTTCAGCTCAAGCTGCGCGCGCAAACGCGAAAGCGATAGCGGCGGTCAGGCAAGAGGCCTTCGACTTTGCCTGGCCAGGCACAAGTGGGTGTGCCATCCATGCAGAGATGTCTTCTATGAGGACCTAAGACCTAGCAGATCCCGGGTCGGTTGAAGCCATGCCCCCCCTGCTTGAGCCAGGGTGAACTCGGAAGATGAGGCCTTTCTTCGCAGTCACGTCGAGGGCGTAGTAGGCGCAGTCGTCGCCTGGACTATCCGTTACCTATGTTTAGGGTTTAGGGTTTATAGGGTTATAGGGTTTAGGGTCTAGGGTTATAGGGTTTAGGGTTTAGGGTTTAGGGTTTAGGGTTTACGTAGCTTATCAAGTCTGCACTAGCTTTCGCGGCGCACTCTGGGGAAGTTTCGGGACTTGAAGGCCTGAGCCCAGCTGTCTGCAGCCAGGGGCTCCCTGGCTACGGCTTCCATCCCGCTTTGCGAAGGGGTTTAGGGTTTAGGGTTTAGGGTTCAGGGTTTAGGGTTTGGGGTTTACGGTTTAGGGTTTTGGTTTAGGGTTTAGGGTTTAGGGTTTAGGGTTTAGGGTTTAGGGTTTAGGGTTTAGGGTTTAGGGTTTAGGGTTTAGGGTTTAGGGTTTAGGGTTTCGGGTTTGGGGTTTAGGGTTTAGGGTTTAGGGTTTAGGGTTTAGGGTTTAGGGCTATCTGAAGCTGCAGTCCGAATCACCTATGCCAGTGCCCTGCAGCGAGTATCCCAGGATGGCTCCTGTTGAGCAGAGGCAGAGTGACGAGGCTGACTACTGGCTATACTCCCCTTAGAACCTTAATAGAACCTTAATAAAAATAATGTCGTTAATATCCTCTTGGGTTTTATGTGAACAAAAACAAAAAACAATTCCCAAGGGGGATCTTTAATATCCTCTTGGGTTTTATGTGAACAAAAATAGTTCCCAAGGGGGATATGGTGCAAAGGAGCTGTGTCCTGCTGACAAAAGCCCCTTGGGGCACCATTTTTGAGGGTTGGTTGCTGTATAAGGGAACCCAGAAGCAGAAAGAGGGTAAAGGGTACCACCCAAGGCCCAAGTGCAAGGTCAAATGTCAGACCGCACCTTTCATGGGCCTATTATGCAATGGCTATGCCTCTGCCGAAGCCGCACCCCAACTGCCTACTTCCCTTTCCGGAATGCACAGCATGCGGGCTCCAGTTGACATTCAAGGCCCAAGAGTTTCACGTAGTTGGCGTGGCCCGTTCGGACATCGCCACCCCCGAAAAAAAGTCTTTTGCAGCCTTTAAAAATTTAGCCCGTGCCTGCATGCATGATACGTCCAATGCATGACCCCCGTCTTGAGAAACATGATCCTCCGCAAAAGTAACAGGGCGCGGCCTCAACGCCGAGGAGTTGTTAACTCGACACTCTTTCTTTAGCCTGTGATTGTTGTTCCCGGATCTCAACTTGACAGCTCGGGGGAAGCTGCAGGATTTTTTCCCATCATTGTCGCGGACAAGACCAGGATCTCGTGGACATGTGTTCTGCAAGGAAGACTCTGCACCTCCACCATTGTCCGCCGGTGGAGACCATGCCAGGGTAGCCTCGATCGAAGCTAACAGGTAGGCCGCACGATCAAGCAGGAGCTTCAATTCCAAATCCAAAGTTCGGTTTCTGAAGCGTGTTGCACAATGCGATCAGCACCCTCGTCAAGCTCACTGGAACTGCAAAAGATTTCTAGGTGTCGAAGGTTCTTGGCTCACTTCCGCTTGAGTCTGTCATCAGACGGTTGACATAATGGCTGCTATTTTGGGGGCGTCCGGCGCCCAGCTGCGAACAACTGAGCTGATTCTGTAGCCGTGTTGCTGAAGTCGCCGTCGGTTCATTCAGCAGCCTGCGAAAGAATGCAACGCGCTTGAAGTTGATGAAAGAAACCTTGGGAACCAAATGAACCGAAATTTTGGGACCATATACCCTGTACTGATATAATCCTTATTCGGGTACATGAACCATGAACCCTGTTAGGGTTCATTTGGTTCTCAAGGAACCGGGGCCGAAACCTGTCAGAGTTTGGGGACTCAGCCGTGTTCAGGGGCCCCACGGCTTCCTCGGGCTAAAGCCAACCCCCCACCTGAACTCTCTCCAAGCATCCCAAAAGCAACAACTTGATTTCCGCAACCCTTAAGCCTTAAGCTGAACGCGAACATGCATGTCCCTCTTGGGCTCTAACGAGAACAAGTCGTTCCCCAACAGTGCCAACTGCTTTGCCAAGCTTCTCACGTTCACCAACAGGTGCACTACTGGGTCCAACACACGAACCTCAAGCATCGCAAGAGCCTCAAGCCTGGCACCACCTACCCATGCAGCCGCCACTCCCTAAACCCTAAACCCTAAACCCTAAACCCTAAACCCTAAACCCTCTGCCAGTTCCACTCCCATGAATAAGTCATCCACAGAATAAGGATATGGTAATATGGCGGCCTCTCCAAACTATGGTCCCTTTTGGGGTCCTTTCATAGAAGGATACTTCGGGTACCCACAATTTGGGGTCCTTAACATAAGGATACGTCGGGTACACAGAAAAAGTGACCCTACGAGCGATTTTGAGAACCCTAGTTCCTCTACTGAAATATACCCTCATAGACCGCATCAGGAAGCCCCAGGAGCTAGGGTTTAGGGCTTTTTTGGCACCCAGGGTTTAGGGTTTAGGGCATGGCCTTGGCATGCCGGGAACTCCAGGCGGAACGGGCCCGGACTGCACCTGCTGATGATTTTGGGGGTGCTCCTAACAGCTTAGAACCACCAAACCCTAAACCCGAACAGTTTCGCACCGGTTTGGGGTGGACGCTGGGATGTTAGGGTCTTGGGGCCGTGGGGGCGCAGGTGCTCCGAGATGCTCCGAGCTTCCGGGGATGGGGCCGTTTCAGCTCGAGGCTAGGGTTTAGGGTTTAGGGTTTAGGGTTTAGGATTTAGGGTTTAGGGTTTGGGGTTTGGGGTTTGGGGTTCGGGGTTTAGGCTGTATTTCGGTGTCTAGGCTTTACTGGCACAGGCTTTTGTACGATACGCAAGTTCTTCACCCATCCCCAAAGGCCGTGAAATCGAGATGGTCCGGGGCGCTAGAAGCTCTGCCGCAGGCGATGAGCCGCGAGCGCTCGCGGCGCACAGGCGGAAGAAGTAGCGGGTGTTACCCTTCCTGAGTGGCAGGGGCTTCGGGGTTCGGTTGTTGGCATCTAAGCCCTAAACCCTAAACCCTAAACCTTATAAACCCTAAACCATGTGTAGAGGGAGCATGCGCAAGCACGAGGATGAAGGCCAAAGCTGCTCCGAAAACGGTGACTCCTGGGGCTCCGTGGTGCTGCAAGTGCTGCAGCAGTTTGACCAGGGGCACGGCACTTTGAAGCATGCTCATCCATCTTCGCCCATTACTACAGGGCTCTCTGATAACTTCCCCCCCAATGCACTCCCTGCAAAAATCGTTGCGACTCTGGCTCAGGCCATTCACCAGGCCCTCCGTGCAGTGTGGCTCGAACTCCTGGTGGCAATCTGGGATGCTAAAGGCCCAATCCAAATCTAGCAACGGATGTGCCAGGGCATGTAAAAACAGGCAGGACATGCACTGAGGCGCATCGGGCACTAGGCAGCTAATTCTGGGCATTGTTGCACAGAAACGTGACGGGGGGGGGGGGGTATCGTTACAGGTACGTCTGGGGATAGAGGGATATGGAGCCAGTGATTTCAAAGCTGAACCTGACTTCTGCTCAGCTCCTTCGTTTGGCGGTCGGTGGGCTCGCTCGCGTTAATCACTTCCAGAGTGTACTTTTCGACAGGCAAGCCACCTCGGCCCACCAAGAACATCAAGACCCCATGACGACGACTGAAGGCCATTCCCTATAACGTATTCGCGAACAGTGTCTAAAACACGTTCTGCAGCAGTTGCAGGTTGCTGGAGGCCTGGGCACAAGTTGGTGACGCAAGCAAACCGACTGACTGCCCCCACGCATTTCAGGGTTTCGGGCAAGGTGCTTCAGGGGTGGATCGGGAACCCAGCTGGCCCTTCCTGGAATGTCCGAGAACTTCTAGGAGACATCTTGAAGTGAACCTTTATGAGCCCATGCCAACGTCCAAAGCCAGTAGCAACAAGCTGACTCCACCGCAAAGCCAAACCTAAATCCCCAAAACAGATCAGAACACTGTCTCAACCTCACACCCTCTGGAGATTCAGCCGCCATCATCCGGTGACGGCTCCCATCGCAGAGTCACTTCCTGCTGAGTTGGCAGCTTTGGGATGTTCCGGGATGCGGTGGTACAGGGCTAGCCAATCCTAGCCATATCACACACAGTGTGTGCTGGCTGACAAGACTTGACAAGTCTTCAGGCCTTCAAGTGCCACATTGTCAGTAGACCCCGATGGGAGCTCAGCACTTTCATGAAACCCCACCGCACACCTCCGCAACAGCAAAAGCCGGTGCTGAGCCCCTGGCTTTCTGCAGTGCTAGCGAGACGGTGAGAGATCGCGGTCGCCTCTCTGTGAATTACCACATCTTTGGCTGCGGTGGCTTCCGGCTTCCGACAGCTGTGCCAAGGGTCTTTGCGGCAGGATGCCCGATGTCATGCAAACAGTCATCTCATCGGCAGAGGGACAAAAACACGGATACACCAATCAACACTGAGAAGCTCGGTGCACCTCTCCCAACCCTAAACTGTAAAACTCTAACTGCAAACCCCGGGATTCTGGCGGCTGAACCTTGGGATGCTCCCCCTTATCCTAACAGTCCTTAATAGGTCTTATAATGTCTTAGAGTACCCCCTAAAATAATCCTATCCGCCGAGGCCTCGGGCCGAAGGCGTTTAGTTGTGCGCACGTCGGTTTTTTTTTTTTGCCTGGAATGGGTGCCACCCCCCCCCCCCCCCCCCCCCGCTCGGTGTAAAACAGAGCTGCACCTCTTGTCTGGCAGGCAGGCAGCCCAGGGGTCTAAAGCCCATCTGCCTTTTCTGGTTTGACGGGTATTTTGGGTATGTTTTGTAGGCAAGAGTGGGAGCAGACGCGGCAGGCTGCCTCCCCAAACCCCCCCCACGTCCCCTCCTCTCCGGGAGCTGATTGGGCCAGGCCGAGGCGGGTCGCGTAGCGTTAAAATGAAGGACTGTTAGTATAAGGGGGAACATCACAACCTGAACCCTTGCTAAACCCTAAACCCTAAACCCTGAACCCTGAACCCTAAACCCTAAACCACTATCAAAGGCTACGATGGCATCCGATGGCACCTGGGAGCCACCGCGGCCGTCATCAGGGCCGCAGAGAGGGGCGAGGGGGCCTCATGGATGGCAGGGTTTAGGGTTTAGGGTTTAGGGTTTAGGGTTTAGGGTTTGGGTTTAGGGTTTAGGGTTTAGGGTTTAGGGTTTAGGGTTTAGGGTTTAGGGTTTAGGGTTTAGGGTTTAGGGTTTAGGGTTTAGGGTTCAGGCCGCGCTCACAGTATCCCATGGACGGCGGACGGTCTGCAAAAGGTCAGGCGCGAGTATGTGCTTGAGAGAACTAGGGTTCCGGCGTTCCGCTTCCGGACTCCTCCCGAGTTGAGTCAACGGTGAACGCTGTCACAATGAGCATTTCTTTTCGCATCACACTCCTTGCACGGATAACTTTTCACGGCTGCAAGATTGCGATCTTGTTCTGCTGGTACTTTAGTGTGTGGCTGCTAGGGTTGCAACCTGGCCCCGCCAACAACTCACACCTTCGCAATATCAGTCAGTTAAATTCACTCCATATTCCTCATGTCAGTTGGACTGCTTCGCGTCGCAAGCACAAACGCACGCGCCCACGGACGCGTACTTTGAGACACATGGCCATGAAAAGACTTCGCAGGTGGGTCCTCCCTGTTGCGTCACGCCACTTCCAAGAATGGTTTAGACAGGTGCTGCTCCTGTTGCTATGTCCTCGCAGAGCTACTCAGGCTCTTACACGGCATTCCTTGTCGAGTGCGGAACGCTTGGCTCCAGAACATGCTTCTTCAGAGTTGCCTGCTAAGCCTTCTCGCTGTGCTCCGTGTCGTGTCGAGTTTGTTGGTTCAAATCTCGCTGCGTTGTCTCAAGCCGACATGACGTCACGCATCCTATCAGGCCTTGATGCATGGTGTGATGGTCTTGTACTGCCCCACCTTCAGGTCCAGCAGTGGACGGCGGATTTGAGACTTGCAAAACCTGCGTGCGCCACCAGGCCACACAACGCAAAAGTAATGGACACGATTCTGCGTGTCGCTGCATGCGTTGGGCAGTTGGTTGAGATGCGCTCTGTTGCTTGGGAACATATTCAAAGCTTGAACGTTGTGTTGGAGGCGTTGTGCTTTTGGATTTTTCCGACTTCTCTGCGCACCAAGAGGTCAACTTCTTTGTCCTCAGACCTTTTGTTCCTTGCTTGTGGAAGCTTGAAGCTTGTCCTCATAACTGCTTGGCAGGCACAAGGTGGCTGCAGGAAACGCCGCCGGGCGGTCAAAAGATGCTTGGGTCTGCCGCCCGACGTGTTCAATGCTTTTCTCGCAAGCAAGAGTTGGACTGCGGCGTCGAAGACAGCGTTTGTCCAGTTTGTTAGCTTGCAAGCCTTTGCGGGCGTTTGCGAGCAACCTGATGCTGCGGTTCTGTACCAGCTTTCTTCGACCTTTTTCAACTATGTTGGGTCGACTAAATTTGGGGTCCAGCGACATCGCTGCCAAGGTTCTTCGCCAGTAAACCGTGCTTACCAGCATATACTTGAACACTCCTGCCTTCAAACTCCTGCCTACGCCGGTCCTCCTGTGCTCAGAAAGAAATGCCGATTGTTCCGTCATGCCAGGCTCTCTGACCACATGTTTTGGGTGTTGGCCCAGGGTCCAGAGACATACATTCGGGCCTTGGAAGAGGCAAGCATAGCATGTTTTCAGCAGCAGGGCAACAGCAAATCCATTGGTACTAAGTCTGTGCAATGTGCTCGGCGCTCCTGTGCCTCTCGCAGGAACCGCACGCGTCCGCACCGCAGAGCCGTCTCGTCAGACATTGTTCACGCGCACGCTGTTCGTTTTGATGTGTGGCATCGTGCCCAACACCGCCTACATGCACGTGTGTGCACGCTACAAGACAACCCCCTGCAGGTTCAGCGACATGTCCTTTACAAAGTTGGGTTTTCTGTTGGGTATAAGATTGCCCTACAGAACATGCTGCTCTCGGGTTTAGGCTATGGTCCGGTTGATGTTGTGAGAGCAGATATGGCAGGCCTGCTGACACGCTACATCGCAGACACAAAGGACCCATGTTGGGAAAGTCTGCACCAGCGGCTCAAATCTGTCTGTTCCTTTGCCACTACGCAGCCAGAGGCCGCGTGCGCAGTTCATCTTGCCAAGCACGTTCGAGCCATGCCACCTGGTAGCGCAAAACTGCGGGCTCAAAAACGGATGTCCCTCCATCTCGCGTGTTTCGGCCTTGTTCCTCTCAGACGTATCTGTGTTGCGTGGCCGGCGCAGATTCCCATTTGGGTTTTCAGGCAAGTCGCGCAGCTCCTGCAATCCGAAGCTCGTCTCAGGGCCAATGTTCACGGAGTGTGGTTTGCTTCCTTGCTGCAACCCGTCAAAGCCAAAAGATGCACGTTTGCTGACCGCTGGCGTTACATCCAGGTTGCACAGAGATTCAGCAATGCCTTCGCTACGTGGCCACTCCACAAACTGAAGCCGTCTCCCGCTGATTGCCGTCAGATGCGTAGGTTCAAACTGCATTGGAAGGTTCCTGTTTGGCAGTCACAAGAGGCTTTGTTGCAGGAGGCTTCGCAAACAGTGCATTGGCTTGCCAGTAAGATGCGGTGTAACCCACCCCTTGCCTTTTGCGCACGTGTGTTCCCGACAGTGTGTAAGGCAAAGCTGCCTTCCGGTCTGTACTCTGCATATTGCGCCAAATTCCCACGCAATTCCTCGGCCGAGGTGCTTGTGCAAGAAGATAAGGATAAGCATGCTGCCTGGTCGATGCCTGTCCCCATCTATGAGAGATGGTGTTTCTGGATGTTCCGCCAAGACCCCTTGCACTGGCAACCCATGCATGGTGACGCGCAGAGCATTTGTGAAGAGTACAGGCAGTTGCATTTGCGTTTGTTGCCCCAACACCTCAAAAGGTTCGCGTCCCGCGAGCGCTGGCGTAGCTTCAAACTACCCTACGCGTACTGCACGATTAAATCTAAATGTTTTCATGCAGCTGGTGATGTCTCGCACATTTGCACAAAACGTGGACACTCATGCTTCCGCAGAATAATCTCTTGGCGTGCGCACCCTGCCAGTCATATGTACAAGAATGCTGGACGAGCAATCCTAGGGATCATTTCTGAGTTAGCAGTAGGGTTTGAAACTGCCAATCTTTTCTCTGCAGTGAAGGACTTTCGCTCGGCAGTCAACAAGCTCATGTGTTGCAGCGATTTGTGTGTGCGGTGCAGGGAGCCAAAACCGACCTTATCGATATGTGTATGTGACGCTGCCCAAATGTACGAAGAGCTAGACCCCTCGAGGATTCGTCAGTCTGTCCTTGGCTTGATCGAACTGCTAAAAAACAAGCGGCCCTCTGCCGTCGGCATTGTGGTCGCCAGGTCCAGACATTTGCGCACCTGGGTTGCTACAAATGACTTTCGTCACAGAGCTGCCTCTACAGTGTGGACTTGGTCAGACATCGTCTGTGTGCTTGATCTCGCTCTGCAGCAGCGGGTCATTCGGCTGGGAAAGGCACTGTTCCGCCAAGTAATAGGTGCCCCCATAGGGGGTCAGCTTTCCAAGGCAATCGCTTCCGCAGTTCTTGCCTTTGAGGAGTTCAGTGCCTGCAATAAACTCTTGGTGCTCAGAGCCTCTGGGTTTCTGCCTTCGGCTGCAAACGTTCTTTCTGATGCTGTTGCCAACACAAGGTATGTTGATGATCTTGCTATGGCCTCGCAAGTTCTGTGCACCTCTTGCTTGCATAAACTCACTAAGCTTTTGTATGCCCAACCTGTTGCTTTTGAACCCGCCACGCGCGAAATTCTAGGGTTTCCCTGGTTAGATGTTTGGTTGGATAGTGTAGGGGGGTCACTTACAGTTACTGCAGCTGGCCTTGAACAGGCTTGGAGGGAAGCTGGTGGTGCAGGTGCTCCCAAAAAGTTCAGGGTGGTTCCATGGCTTGGTGATCATCATACTGATCTTTCGGAAGTAAGGGGCATTGTGGCAGGGAAGCTTGTCAGATGGAAATCTTTGCAGTTGGAACAGGAGTGCCTTGAGGCCACAGTTCGGGCAGAACTGTTGGTTTGGGCTCTTAGTGGCTATCCAGCTCAACAGCTCCGTAAAATCTGGGGCCGCTTGCCTCACTTCCCCAAGGCATCTCACATTGCTTTGCGGACTCTGGATGATTGGTCAAACAGCGGCCTGCCCACTTGCATTCGGTCTAGTTGGTTACTGTAGCTGCTGCTTTGGTGCCATTGCTGCAGCGCGCGAACCTCTTCATGCTAACTTTTTTGGTTTGTTTTCTTGGGTTTCTGTTTTCATGTTGTAGTCACTTGCCATCGCGGAGACTTCAACCGTTTGTTGGCCCTAGTCTGGTTCTTTGGTTGCTGTTAGGCCTTTCCTTCCGCAGTGGGTGTTTGCAAGCTTCCTGCAGCCATGCCTGAGTGGCACTCCCGTCGTCATGACCAGCCACACTCAAGCTCATACCACACGCCGCGGGGACAGTGGTATGGGCATGGTGGCAAAGGTGGTGGCAAAGGCCACGGAAAGCATCACGGCTACTCACAGCGCTTCAGCCCCTACAGCAACGGCCGGGGAGGAGGACTGGAACAGGCAGTTTCTCGTTCCTTCCAGACTGCGCTTAGCTCAACGCTGGAGTGTGCCATTTCTGAAGGCTTTGCAATGCTCACCTCCAGGTTGACCAACGGTGTGGAGCAGCAACAGCTGCAGCAACACAGCTCTCCCCCTGCCAGAGCCGGCAGTGCGCTTACTCGTGCGGTTGTGGGCCTCTTCGGTGGTGCGAACAAGGAGACTGCGGAGCCCAAGCCTCCTTTGCCACAGTCTACCAGCCCAGAGGCCCAAGACGCCAACAACGCAGCACTGCAGATGGCTCTTGAGCAGCAGTCCCAAACCATGCAGTTCATGATGGAGTTCATGAAGTCCTCACAGGAGAAGAGTGGTGATGCTGGGGTGCCCACAGTCGTTGCGGCTGACAACACAGAACTTGACAAAGATGCGGCGATCAAGCAGTTGCAGGCGCAGGTTGCGGGTTTGGCAAAGCAGCTTGCTGAGAAGTCTGGCAAGGCAAGTGCTCCGACGGCAGGCAAGAACCTCCGCCAGACTGAGCTCCCTTTCAAGCCAGCTCCCGGCAACTGACTAGGATTCTGCAGATATTCGCCCACCCTTCGGGCTGTCGCCAAATGGTTGGGTCGTTTTGGCACAGATGCCCTGATATGGCTAATCGTACTGTCATTGCAGTGGAGTGCTTTGGTGGCAGTGCTTTTGTATATCTGGAGTTTCCAAGGCCAATCGGTGATTCAAGCATTGATGTCAAGAATGCTCACTTGGGCTCTGCAAAAATCCGGAGAGCATGTTGTAATGCATGCTACTGGAAGCATGTCAGGGCCAGATCTCGAGTTCAGAATGTTAGAAGCTATGATGAACCAGACAGTGGGAACAACCAATTCGCATCAAGGTGACGCTCATTCTAGAAGTAGTTTGTGGCAGCTCTGCTACTCCAGTCTGTACCAATCCTTGCTTAGCATCACCACACAACTGCTGTGGTCATCGGGACGTCAAATGTTTAGATGAATTTTGACAGCATCTCAGCTCAGCGTGTGAACTGCACATGCCTTGCTCGCGAAATTTATATGTCCAAGAGTTAGTACCAGACCGCTTCTTCGAAGTAAGAAGTGTCCCGGGATCACCCAAGCCGCGGTCACAGTATCCCATGGACGGCGGACGGTCTGCAAAAGGTCAGGCGCGAGTATGTGCTTGAGAGAACTAGGGTTTAGGGTTTGGGGTTTGGGGTTTGGGGTTTAGGGTTTAGGGTTTGGGGTTTAGGGTTTAGGGTTTAGGGCACTTGTTGGACTGCTCCAAGTACAAGCAGGTTCTTTGGTGTGTGAATCATGCAAGCCTTAACAACCGCATGCTTCCACTCTTGACTACCACCTAGAGCAAGCGGAATTTTGACAGCTTCGGATCACTCAGCCAACCCAGGCAACTTGATGTTCATGAAAGGAGTCTTTCCCGAAGACGAAGCCTTCACTGAACTAGCTAGGCCATCTAGCAGCCCTTAGCCGTGTGTAGGCAAGAGCAGGCTGATGGCAGAAGTAAGTGTGTCGACACTCTTACTTGTACACAGCCGCAAAAAGGACCACTGTTCACAACAGATTCGCTCGTGTCTTTGCTTGTTGGGGCTCTGAGGTTCTAAGCTTTGGAGACGCCGAGTCTTTATGCTGCGGTATTGATGAACCGATTTGTGCAATCATGGAAATGCCAGTGGAGCTACTAATTGCATCAAGAAGATCTAAGTGCCGCAATTCTTCGGCAAGGAGTACCCAAGTCCAACTCATCCAAAGCACTGAGAGACCCCCTGCGCTCAGGGCAAAGACTTGGAACACGTACGGCGCATTGCCTGTACATCTTGGGTTTGGGATCTTCCCCCTTATACTAACGGTCCTGAATAGGCATTATGACGGGAGTATAGTACCCCCTAATTATTATAATCCCTATTAAGGACTGTTTGTAGAAGGGGGAACATCCCAATCTTGGGTGTTTTCGCACTCTGATGAACTCTGCACATCAGATGAGGAAATTCTGGAACGAAATATTGAGACTCGAGCAGTTTGGAGTCGTAGGGGGCTTGGAATCCACTGTTTCTTAAGAGTGCCGATCTTGGTACCATTGCTGCGCAGGAAAAAGTATCATCATTGAGTTTTTTTAAAGCTTCTTGGGCGGCTGCTGCATCTCGCCGGAAAGACCAGGGATGCGGTTTCTCTTAGGAGTTCAATGTCAAGCTGCGCAAAGCAGATGCAAAGAAAACGCAAAGCAGGATCCCAATCCAAGCAAAGCAGAGCAGCCCTAAACCCTAAACCCTAAACCCTAAACCCTAAGCCCTAAGCCCTAAACCCTGGTCCTAGCCCTCTCCAAGTGCTCTGCCTTGAAGCCCATGCAGCGTCAAGCGTGTGGAGGCATCTGCAGTCTGGAATTGCAAGAGCTCCTCTGGTTTAAGGGTTAAGGGTGTAGGGTTGCTGAGCTTCCTACGAGCTGTGGATTCAAGGATTTCCTTGCCGAGGAATGACCACCCAACAACTTCGAAAACTCGCCAGTCTCATGCTCTAAACATCCCAAAGCTGGAGCTTCGGGCTTAAACAAGGTTCTTAGTCGGGGGTGCGGCTGCGAATTTCTGAGCCACAAGCCTAGGTTTGCGAATTCGAAGCTTCGCCGGCTTCACGTACACGACTGCAGAAGGTCCTCCGGCTGCTCCATGGAACCTTCCTGGAACGCAGAGGTCTACATATATGAGCCTACAGGGCTTCAGGGATATCATCGTGCTAAATCGCACAAAGCCTTGCTACAAGGCTGTTAAGGCCAGCCGGCGGGGTTTCTGGTCTACATCAAAAAGCGCCAAACGGACTCAAGTGTTTGAGACCTGTTGACTGGTAACAGTCCACTAATCCTGGGTCTTTATGGCGGAGATCTTGTTGTTGAGGGAGGGGGCTTGCTCATCACCCTGCGCTGCTTTGGCGGCGACAATGGGGGGCATGGCCGATGCACAGCAAGCGCGAGTGGGTGCTCCATCCTACCTGGAGAACCAACTGAACCCTAAAAGGGCTTATGGTTCATATATCCTAAAAAGGACTATAGTAGTATAGGGTATAATTATGGTCCCAATTTTAAGGTTCATTTGGTTCCCAAGGTAGGGCACGCATGTACCTCTGACACTTTCAAGGCTGAAGGCCTGGCAAGATTACAACATAAGTGATACATCCAAAAGCATCTCAGCCCCAAAATCTCCCTGAGCCCAAGGAAACCTCCCTAAACCCTAAACCCTCAACCCTCAACCCTAAACCCTAAACCCTAAACCCTAGGCCCTAAACCCTAGGCCCTAAACCCTAAGGCCTAAAGCCTAAACCCTAAACCCTTTTGCCTAAAGCCTAAAGCCTAAACCCTAAACCCAAAACCCAAGGAAACCCCAATCCTAAGCCTCAGTGGCCAAGTTTCGTCTGGCTGCGGCTTCGGGCTCGGCTTCTGCACCCTGAGGGGGCATCTTGGGGGTGGTCTCGGGAAACCTGCTGGGCTTGAGGGCTTTGATTGCTCAGGGAGCTTGAGGATCGCTCTTCCTGAAACTGAAAACTCAATGCTCCGTCCCCGACATTCCTGCAGACCTGGACCAAGGAACTGTCCAAGGTTCGTTATCGGAAGGACTTTCTCAAGAAACTCGAAACCGACGTCATCTGACGTGTGGAACTGTACTGAACCACTGGTTGCCCCTGAACTCAATTGAACTCATGGGGCCTCTTGCCACCAGGCTTGCCACCAGGCGCGCGCTTCGAGCCAGTGCTCCGGCCTTCGGCTTGGCAAATCGCATTCTTTCAGATGCGGCATGGAACTACTGGAGTCAAGGTTGTTGAGTCATTGGGGGAGCCTACTTGCGCTGAAGCCTTAAAAAGAGCTTGGTGCAACACCAGAAGACGGCATCATAAAACTTGAGTCCCGCTCGCCTCTGGCCCCAACGTGACATGACAGCGCAAAGTGGGGGAAGGCATCTTCTGGCACACAATCGCAGCGTGCCCTCGGATCGGCCAAGCAACAAACTTGCTACGATGGTGCAGGTGCCGTAGAAACGCTTTAAACTACTATTGGCTTATGGACCTCCCCCCCCCAAAAAAAAACATATATAGATATATATGGTCACCCCCCCCCTCGACAGACCCCGGAAGTATATTTCCGGTCTGTTCAGGAAGGGGGCGGGGGGAAAAGCACCACTCCAAAACTCCTCGAGTTTCCAAAAATCCAAAAATCCAAAAAATCCAACCCAGGGTTCCGCTTTTTGGAAACTCGAGCGGGAGCCTCAAAATCCAAAAATCGAGCAAATTCCTCGAGTTTCCAAAATTCCAAAAATCCAAAAAAACCCACCCCAAGGTTTGGATTTTTGGAAACTCGAGCGGGAGCCTCAAAATCCAAAAAGCGAGCAAATTCCTCGAGTTTCCAAAATTCCAAAAATCCAAAAAAATCCACCCCAAGGTTTGGATTTTTGGAAACTCGAGCGGGAGCCTCAAAATCCAAAAATCGAGCAAATTCCTCGAGTTTCCAAAATTCCCAACCTTGGGGTGGATTTTTTTGGATTTTTGGAATTTTGGAAACTCGAGGAATTTGCTCGATTTTTGGATTTTGAGGAAATTCCTCGAGTTTCCAAAATTCCAAAACTCCAACCCAAGTTTCGGATTTTTGGAAACTCGAGCGGGAGCCTCAAAATCCAAAAATCGAGCAAATTCCTCGAGTTTCCAAAATTCCCAACCTTGGGGTGGGTTTTTTTGGATTTTTGGAATTTTGGAAACTCGAGGAATTTGCTCGATTTTTGGATTTTGAGGAAATTCCTCGAGTTTCCAAAATTCCCAAAAAACCCAACCCAAGTTTCGGATTTTTGGAAACTCGAGCGGGAGCCTCAAAATCCAAAAATCGAGCAAATTCCTCGAGTTTCCAAAATTCCAAACCTTGGGGTGGATTTTTTTGGATTTTTGGAATTTTGGAAACTCGAGGAATTTGCTCGATTTTTGGATTTTGAGGAAATTCCTCGAGTTTCCAAAATTCCAAAATTCCAAAAAAACCCACCCCAAGGTTGGGAATTTTGGAAACTCGAGGAATTTGCTCGATTTTTGGATTGTGAGGCTCCCGCTCGAGTTTCCAAAAATCCAAACCTTGGGGTGGATTTTTTTGGAATTTTGGAAACTCGAGGAATTTGCTCGATTTTTGGATTTTGAGGCTCCCGCTCGAGTTTCCAAAAATCCAAACCTTGGGGTGGGTTTTCTTGGATTTTTGGAATTTTGGAAACTCGAGGAATTTGCTCGATTTTTGGATTTTGAGGCTCCCGCGCGAGTTTCCAAAAATCCAAACCTTGGGGTGGATTTTTTTGGATTTTTGGAATTTTGGAAACTCGAGGAATTGGCTCGATTTTTGGATTTTGAGGCTCCCGCTCGAGTTTCCAAAAATCCAAACCTTGGGGTGGGTTTTTTTGGAATTTTGGAAACTCGAGGAATTTGCTCGATTTTTGGATTTTGAGGCTCCCGCTCGAGTTTCCAAAAATCCAAACCTTGGGGTGGATTTTTTTGGATTTTTGGAATTTTGGAAACTCGAGGAATTTGCTCGCTTTTTGGATTTTGAGGCTCCCGCTCGAGTTTCCAAAAATCCAAACCTTTGGGGTGGATGTTTGGATGTTTGGATTTTTGGATTTTTAGAAACTGGATTTTTGATAAGAGTTTTTCAGGGGTTCTTATATGATTCCTTATTATGTTTCAGGCTGCCTATTAAATTTAATAATACTCCTGTTCACTTTTAACGGGAGTCCTTATTGAATTAATAAGACTCCTAATCATTTTACTAGCATTCTAAGTGATCTTCAATGGCAATGGGATTCCTGTATTTGTTTAATGGGGTTCGTATAAGATTTTAAAGGATGCCTGTTAAAGGACTTGATTGGGTTTAATGTTGATTCCTATTCATGTTAATCAAATGCCAAATAATTGGAATACGATTCTGAGTAATTGTAATAGCATTCTTCTTCCTAGTTAGTTTTAATAAAAGTCTTAAAATTTTAATAAGCTTCATAACAAATTTTATACATATTCCTATTAATTTCAATACGCTTCTTATTCATTTTCATAAGATGTCTTACAATTTCTAATTGGGTTCCTTTTGCTTTGACAAGCTTCCTATTCATTTAAAGAGGCATCTGATTAATTGGAATAGGCTTCGTATTGATTTTAACAGGGTTTCTCATTCGTGTTGACAGGATTCCTAATGATGTTCATAGGATTCCTACTAGATTCCACAGTGCTCCGATTATGTTTTTTTAAATCCTGTTCCCTATTCATTTCAATTGGACTCGAAGTAATGTTCTTGTAACTCTCATTTGTTGTATTAGCAATCCTGTTAATTAAATTTTTTAATAGGGTTTATTATAATTCTAACAGTACGACTCTTATTGTTTTAAGTTTTGAAGGGTCCACATTACTTTTTTATAGAATTTTATTGGCTCCTCTTAATCCTTAATAGGATTCATCTTCATGTTACACGGATTCCTGTTACTCTTAAAAAGAATTCATAGATTCTTTTGTAGGGTTCCTATTAATTTTAATAGCATTCCTATGAATTCAAAAGGGTTCCTATTCATTTGAATGGCCTTCCTATGGTTCCTCTGAATTTAGGACGCCAAGAAATTTTAATAGGAGCTTCTACGTATTTCAACCAGGTTCTTATTAATTGTACTAGGATTCTTACTAAGTTTTCAAAAAGGACTCGTCTTAATTTCAATAGGGTTCTCATTCATTTTAATGGGGTTCCTATTGATTTAAATAGGATTCCTATTGAACTCATACGAAGCCTATGAATCCTAATAAACTTAATAGGAACCCAAGTAAAACTAAGAGCAATCTTATTAAAATTAATAGCAATCCACGATGTCGAGCAAATTGTGCAGGTCCTTACAGCATGCGTCCTTCTCACATCTGTCTGCATCTTTCATTGCGAACACAAAGCCGTACTAATCGAAAAAAAAAAGCTCTATTGTGTGTTAACGTGTCTGGCTACTGTGTGCAGCTATGCTGTCCGTCGCGCCCTCAGCCCTTTTTTTGCTTCCGGGGTCTGTCGAGGGGGGGGGGGGGGTGAGCATATATATATATATATGCTACCCCCCCCCAGGAGAATCTACCTTTTCAGGTAATCTTGGATCTTGGATGGGTTTAGGGTTTAAGGTTTAGGGTTTAGGGTTGAGTGATGGTACCCCCCCCCCCAATCTTATGGTTCGAGGCGTACCGTCCTTCCTTCTCCATTATCTGCAATTGATATACAGTACATATACCCTATATACATACATGATGTGGGCACTTATCCTACTTTGTCTTTGCTTTTCCTAGCCCTATGGGATTTAAAGTTCAAGAGTTTAAGCCTCAAACCCTATAGGGTTAAAAGGTTCTGTTACTGTAGGGTTTAGCGGGTTTAGGGTTTAAGGATTCTAAACGTGAGCCCTGTAAGGCTTCAGGGTTTGTCGTTGAAACAGTAAAGGGGTTAAAACCCTACAAGGTTTCGGGTTACGATTTTTAAATTCCTAAGTCTTGAACCACAAAAGGGTAAACCATGTAGGGTTTAAACCCTATAAGGGCTAGCCCCGATAGGGTTCTAGAGATACACCCTGAATAACCCTAAAGCTTTACATCCTATAGGGTTTTAATATTTCAACCTAAACCCTAAACCTTTAAACCTATAGAGTTTAAAGGCCACCTATTCGGTTTAAATACCTAACCCTATAGGGACTCTATAGGGTTTAAGGTTCAAGCCTTTAGGGTTACAGATTGAATGCCCAAGCCTTAGGTTTTAATCACTAGATCTTGCACCTGTAAAATCCTATGGGGCTTGCAGATTGTAATGCCTAAACCTCAAGGCTAAATTCCTAAACTTCATTCGCCTTCAAAACCTAAGGTCTGGGCATTTATACTTTTAGCGCCTTTAGGGTTAAGACCTTGGAACCTTCATAGGGTTTTAGGGTTCTGACCCTAAAGGGTTTAGGGTGAGGTTGAAATGTCTAAACCTTAAACACTTAAGGTTTAAACTCTATGGGCTTAGGTTTGAATGCATGAGTCTTAATTAAACCCTGAACCTTTACACCTTAAACCTATAGGGTTTAAAGGTTAAGGGCTTAGGTTCAATTGCCGGTTAAATGCCTGAATCTTAAACCTGTAGGGTTTAAAAGTTAAGGGTTTTGGTTTAATTTCCGGCTTAGATTTGAAATCCTTAAATCTTACACCCTAAACCTTTAAACCTTAACCCTATAGGGTTTAAAGGTTAAGGGTTAAGTTTAGTTGCTTAACCTTGAAACCCCATAGGGTTTAAAGGTGTAGGGTTTAAGGTGTAGCCCTAGATCCTATAGGTTTAAGGCATAGCGATTAAAACCCTAAACCTGTAGGGTGTCGGGGCTTCTCTTAAATCCTTAAAGCCTTAAAGCCTTAACCCCGATAGGGTTTTAGAGACAAGCCCAGCCCAAACAACCCTTAACCTTAAGAAAAAAACCCTGGAGCTGGAGCGGCAGCGGAGCGGAGCGGAGGGAGGGGGGGGGGGGGGGGGGGGGGGGGGGGGGGGGGGTAGGGGGGGGGGGGGGGTACCACAGTCATGGTCCCGAGGCCAAGTTGGAAGAACCCCCCCCGCCCCCCCCCCCCCCCCCCCCCCCCCCCCCCCCACCTAAGCAACCCGACTGCTTATAAGCAACCCAACTGCTTCTAAGCAACACACCTAAAACAAAAGACAAACTCTTATACCTCATCCTCTGGATATGGAAATCTGAAACTCTCATCATGTAGAGATTGAAATGCGAATCTTGTTGAAGATGAGAGGGTAAGAATCTATACGAAAGCGTTAGAGGTATCTTCAACCCGATACGAAAAAGCTACAGGTGTCTTAAACCCCCACCCTTTGGAGGTAGATTCTCCAGGGGGGGGGGGTACCATATATATATATATATATAAGGGCAAGATAGGGATTGTTATGGGACTTTTACAGGGGTTCTTCACTCCCTATAGCCCAAGCCCTACACCTCTGAACCAGGTAGGGAATGAGGGAATGACGGTCCTATATATATATATACCCTTTAAGGGATTGTATAGGGTACCTAAACCTTAAACCCTAACCCTAAACCCTAAACCCTAAACCCTAAACCCTAAACCTCATTCCCTACTAAGAACCAGCCAGTCACCTCAGCTCGCTGAAAACTCTGCCCGCCTGACTCCGTGGACACCAACTTCCGGCCTTGCACCTGGGAGGGCTTTCGGGTTCAGGGCTATAGGGTTTAGGGTTTAGGGTTTAGGGTTTAGGGTTTAGGGTTTAGGGTTTAGGGTTTAGGGTTTAGGGTTTAGGGTTTAGGGTTTAGGGTTTAGGGCTAGGGTTTAGGGCTAGGGTTTAGGGAGGCTTCGAATGGCTTCAAGGGTGCCTTGCAGAGGCCGCGCTTCCAAGTAGCTGCAACAAAGAAGCATCTTCCCTGTGCTTCTCGGAGTTCCCCCTAAACCCTGAACCCTAGGGTTTATGGTTTAGGGTTTAGGGTTTAGGATCCCTAAACCCTAAACCCTTTGACAAGCGAATCGAAGTTTGCCTGAATGGGGCTTTGGCCAAGGCGCGATGTAGCGCACCACGGGGGCCTCCCCTTCATTGGCCGGGGCGTTCCAAACCTGACTCTAAACCCTAAACCCTAAACCCTAAACCCTAAACCCTAAACCCTAAACCCTAAACCCTAAACCCTAAACCCTAAACCCTAAACCCTAAACCCTAAACCCTAAACCCTAAACCCAAACCCTGAGCCCGGACAAGGTCTGCGAGGCTTGAAATTCCAAGGTTTGGGATGAGGCTTCCAATTTTCTGTGTGTTGAAGGCCGCGGTTGTCAAGAGTCGGGCGCCAATTTCGGACATGTTGCCCATGTTTTTGCTGATGATCATGCCGCAAAAAGCACCGAGGCCTTACTGATCCTTACTGTACCTCACGGGCCCCAGCCCTACTGAAAGCTGTAAGGCGGCAAGCTTCATAAGTTCAGAGTTCCGGAGTGAAGGTTTAGGGTTTAGGGTTTCTGCAGCACCATCTCCAAAGAGCGAATATCGGGCAGGGTTTAGGGTTTAGGGTTTAGGGTTTAGGGTTTAGGGTTTAGGGTATAGGGTTTAGGGTTGAGGGGGCATCCATCAGGTCTGGTTTAACTAAACTAGCACCGTGGGGCCTTGAAGCCAGCCCTCTCCCAAGCTTTTGAGCTGCAAGAGTTTGGTTCGGCTGTTGTAAACCCTAAACCCTAAACCCTAAACCCTAAACCGAATTTGGTGGGTGCTTAGAGGCTACGCAGCCGCAGCCTCTTCAGCCTTCAAAACCAAGTGACGAGAACCATGCCATCCCTCCTCGGCTTTGCACGGCGCATCTAGTCGCTACGCGGGCTTCTGGGAGTTTAGGGTTTAGGGTTTAGGGTTTAGGGTTTAGGGTTTAGGGTTTTTTCAAGGAGTTTAGGGGAAAGCTTGGATCTTGAGGTTGGGGCCTGGTCAGGGCGCGACGCTCGATATAAGCGCACCCGATCTGCCGCATGAGTCAGCAGACCAGGGGGCCGTCAATGCAGAGCACAGAGTGGGCCAAGCCACAAACCACACGTCAAGGCCAGCCATGGACAACAAGGCAAAACATGGCAGCCGTGCTGCCACACGCACTTTAAACGAAACAAGGTTCGCTTCAATGACGTATCTTTGTTTCAATGCACAAGTGGCTACACGTAGGTCAACACCGTGCAACGCGCTCGACACCAGAAGTAAACGTCTCAAGCCCCCCCCCCCCCCCACGACTTCTAGGGGCTCAAGTTTAAACTTCCCGGTGGCCAAATGGGCATTTGCCAAAATAGGGATACCCCTTTATCCCCCAAATAGAATAGACTCCCCCTTAAACGGACCCCCCCCCCCCCCCTCCCCAAAAAGGGCAACCCCAATTTTCCGAAACACCGGAATGGAGCCGCTTCTTTGCCAAGCGACATCCGCTCGGCCTGTACCTGAGAAAGCGATGGTTCTTAGTAGGGAATGAGGAGCCTACATAATACATTCAAGGGAATATAGAGGGCCCCCGATACCATCCCTTGAAGGGTATAACTCAGAACGAGGGGAACAAGCTCTTTAAGAACTTAGATGCATGACTGTCATCCTCTTGCATCACGAACCATGCAAGCAATCCCCCTAAACCCCAAACCCCAAACCCCGAACCCTAAACCCCAAACCCCAAACCCCAAACCCTAAACCCTAAACCCTAAACGACCAGAACATGCATAAAACTACCCCGCAGTCCCAGGATCCGGTGCGGTGGGCGCTGCGGCCACCTGCGGGTTCCGCGCGGCGGTGTAGACCAGCTCCTGAGGCGAAGGCGAAGACTGTCGAGGTGGTTTAGGGTTTTTTTTTGGCACCCGACTAGCCAAGGGTTTAGGGTTTAGGGTTTAGGGTTTAGGGTTTAGACAGGCTTAGGGTTGCAGATCTCTGTGCTTGTAGATGTTAGGCCACAATGTGCTGAAACCAAGGCACTATAGACAATGCGGTTGTTTCAAGTTGTTTCGAGCTGGATGATGGGAAGCTATGTACAAGCGGCACCCTCAGCTTTCTGAACAAGCGCTGTACATAAAGCACACGTTTGGCAAAAGTTCCGAAAACTGCTTGCGCCGGTGAGGGTGTGTGTGTGTGGTTCACTTAGGGCAGCGAGGTCGTGGCTACTTTGCCGGGGACTCACAGATTTGGAGCTTGGGCTTGACCCTAAACTCCCAAAATATGAACCCTACAACCTTTTTTTGAACCAGACCCTAAACCCCCAAAAATGGTTCGCCTTGGTGATGCAGACTGTGCCTAACGAGAACGATCTCAGCGGCCGCAGAAACTACAGAAGGATTCTCGGGATTCCTGCATTATGTGGAGCTTCTCAAGTTCAGATATGGTGGCTTCCGAGATGGGGGGGGATACCGTATTGGGGTCCCTATTCATAAGGGAATATTACTACTTGGGGGCTAGTTTAGGGGTCCCCTATTTTCGTAAACCCCATATAAGATGTGGTGGGTGTTTGTGGAGGCCTACGAGGGGGGATGTCTGCTGTACGCGGGTGAAGTAGGGTTTATATTTCGTGCACCCAGTACATACACTGACCAATAACAGCAATACTACCTGCTTCGGGTCATGCGACCTGCAGTCTGCAAAACCCTAAACCCTAAACCCTAAACTCTAAACCCTAAACCCTAAACCCTAAACCCTAAACCCTAAACCCTAAACCCAGTCAAGTTGCGCTGTGCATCGACCATGGCCCTGGCTCCGTCTTTCCACGCCCACGGACGCGGAAGCAGTAGAGCTGCCGTGGCCGCAGGCCGGTCTGAGCTCGGCTTGGCTGCTCCGATATGGGGTTTAAGGGGGGTTGGGTTTAGGGTTTAGGGTTTAGGGTTTAGGGTTTAGGGTTTAGGGTTTAGGCTTTAGGCTTTAGGGTTTAGGGTTTAGGGTTTAGGGTTTAGGGTTTAGGGTTTAGGGGTTTAGGGTTTAAGGGGTTTAGGGTTTAGGGCTTAAGGGTTAAAGGGTTAAAGGGTTCAAGGGTTTTAAGGAGTCTTGGGTTTCTTCTTCGTTCTCTGCAAGTCGAACTTGGAGGGCTTTAGGGTGAGTCACCAGAGTTTCACCAGGGTATCACCAGGGTTGCGGGCAACGGTCCTGCGTTGCCAACAGTACTGGTTCGGGGGTCTCGGATTTGCGGAGTAAATTGTGTGTGTGTGGTGTGACGTTGAGAGTTTAAATGAGGGTGTCACGAACTAACGTAGGGTCCAGAGGTCCTTGCGTGACATTGTGTTACTGATGGGCTTCAGTGCGACCTACGGACTACGGACTTTTCAGCAATGTGGCTTCACGGTGCGGCATGCGACCGGCTCACATTAACTACGAAGGTTTGTCTTCTGCAGAGGCCCCCCTTCGCGCAACCCGTTTTTTCAGGAGTTCGCATACACAGGGAGAATAGCTGCAAGCTGACGGCCACCGCTGGTTCCTGTAAAGCCTACGGTCTTGCTGAGTGACTCAAAGACACTAGTTACGCATGCACGCACGCGTGCCAGAGCTTCCCTGCCAGCTCTGCAACAAATATGAAAAGCTGGCAATCCAGCCATGGCGCGATCGTTGCTTCGGTCCTCTGGCTGCCAGCGGATGCATGCGACCCAGGCTCCTTGTACAGACAAGCGCAGCACCAGTCGTTCGGGATGTCTTTTCGGCTTTGACGGTTTGGGCTCTGTAGGCATGGATGAACTATCCGGACATTGAAACATGGTGGACCTCAAGAAACAAAGCACCACTCGGCGTGTCCTCTGCAGGGGGGTCCACGGTGGAAACCCAGCCTGTTCAAGCAGGGCAGCATGCAGATCACTAACCTTGGGGACCACATGAACCCTTAAAGGGTTTGTGGTCCATATACCTTCACAGGAAATATAGTAGTTCACGGTATATATCCCCCCCCGATTTTTGGGTTCTTGTGATCCTGGTCTTCTCCAAGGGCGAACTGCCACGCTCTCATCTTCGCACGCTCTCTGACCTTAGGGACGAAATAAACCCCAAAATTGGGAGTCATATACCCTGTAATTACAAAAGTTCCTGTTGAGGTATATAAGCCATAAACCCTTTTAGGGCTCTTTTGGTTCCCAAGGCATTCGCATGCTTGGTGCCGGAGCATGAACAAAGCGCAGCTAAGCTTTTCGTGTCTAGAGCTACAAGCGCGTAAGCCTGACGCAAAAACCCGAGCGGCTTCTGTGGACGAAGACACGCCGAACCCATTTTAGGAGCGAGCCAGGTGACGAGACATCAAATACAGGAACCCAGGAAGGAGTGGGAGCCGGGGTGGTGGGGCAGCAGCGCAAAGTTGTTTTGCCCCCGACTCCGGCTAAGCTGGACTGCAGTCCGCTTTGCGGGGTTTACGCCATACTCGAGATTGGCTTTAGAAAACTACACGGTGCTCCAGAGCCTGTCTGCTTGTACCCCTAAAGCCCTCGAAGCCACAACCAGACAAGCAAAGCTCCACAATTGAATGAAGGCACGGCCTGGGGATCTTGACATCTTTGCAGATGGACTTACTTTTCGTTCAGTGCCCTGGGCAATAGCACTCTGGTTCTGTCTCTGTTCACAAGCCACTCCGTGCATCAACCATTTGTAGGACATTTCTTTCCCGCACGTAAGTTAACAGCACGCCTCTCAGCAGCGGGCCTAAAGTGCCCCTTCTTTTTGCCTAAAGTGCCCGAAACCCTAAACCCTAAACCCTAAACCCTATAGCACCTGCACTCTTACCCCTCCAACTCTCCCTGCCGAGTTGCTGGGCTCACTGCTGCTTTGCGGCTCCACCTCAGCTTCAGTACAGCCCAAACCATGCAACCGAGCCCTGCACATCCAGAGAATCGCCGAGCCCTGCACATCCTGAGAATCAATGTCAGGGTTTAGGGTTTAGGGTTTAGGCTTTAGGGTTTAAGGTTCCCCCTCCCCCCTCATCCCTTCATCACTTCATTCCTGGGGCTGCACGGATCATCTTCCGCCAAGGTGCAAGAATCTCATAGCCTCAGGTTCAAGCAGTATACGTTCAGAGTAGCGACGTAGCAACGAGAGGTACTACAACACAAGAGCATCTCTGAAGAGGACCATAACTTGCAAAAAGCTGCACTTTCACGTTTGGCTTCTTTGCTGGTATCACTTGGCATGTTCCGCGTTATACTAGCGGTCCTTAATAGGGATTCTAGTACCCTCTAATATACTCACTATTAAGGACTCGTAGTCTAAGAGGGAACCTGCCAAGGTATCACAAGAAAACGCCAAAAGAGGCGAAAAAAAAGGCAGATTCTCTCTCTCTCTCTCTCTCTTGCAACTGAATCTTCTGAAGTTTTGCGAGCGGCACCAAGGGGTGCACTAGTGTGCTTCGGGTGTTTAGGGGTTAGGGTGCACCATTGTGTATACGAGATCGACGACGACGACGAGGACGACGACGACGAGGACGACACCCCCACCACCAACGACAACATCAACGACAACACCAAAACACACACCGCCAACACCAACAAGGACAAACAAGAACAAGCACAGCAGCAACAAGAACAAGAACAAGAACAAGAACAGCAGCAACAGGAACTGCAGCAACAGGAACGGCAGCAAAAAGAACAGCAGCAACAAGAACAGCAGAACAGCAGCAGCAACAGCCGCCAAGACGGGGTTACGGTTGGCAACGTGTCCTCTCAAATCTTTCAGAGGCAACCCCTGGCGCCCTCCGCTACCCTTCAGATAACCCCCAGCACCTTCTCAACCCTAAACCCTAAACCCTAGACCCGAAACCCGAAACCCCTCGAATCCTCCCAAAAAGCACCGAGCAGCACTCGACATCGATGGCGGAGGGCCACCGGAGCGTCGCGAAGTCCAGGCCTGCTTCCTGTACACCAGTGGTTGCAAGGGTGCCCCGAAGTTTTGCAGAGGTAGAAATTTAGGATTTCGGGGGTAGGGTTTACGGTTTAGGGTTTTGGCTTTAACTTTAGGGTTAAGGGTTTGGGGTTCAGGGGCTTTATCGTGCTTTAAGCTCCGGGTTCCGGGATGCAGGTGCCAAAACGTACCAGAGGAGGTGACAATGGCAGATGCCACAGTAGTGGAAAGCCAGACATTTGCAGAGTCCTAAACCCTAAACCCTAAACCCCTATATATCCCTCATTGCACTGGTACCGTTCACAAGTCGAGCCCCCAGCTCGTGAGCACTCCTCCCTTCTCGCAGACCATCGACACCCAGTGTACCGCAACACCCCAGCATCCTCTTTAACCATGATCATGAGCCCATGTGGTTGGGGCGAACAATGCGCATGGTGTTGGTGTGTTGGTATCTGCCTCTGCCTCTGCCTCTGCCTCTGCCTCTGCCTCTGCCTCTGCCTCTATGTGTGCGCTCCTCTGCGTGCGTGCATGTGCGCGTGCACGTGCATGTGAATACGCATGTGAATGTGCACGTGTGTGCAGGTGTGGGTGTGGGTGTGGGTGTGGGTGTGGGTGTGGGTGTGGGTGTGGGTGTGGGTGTGGGTGTGGGTGTGGGTGTGGGTGTGGGTGTGGGTGTGGGTGTTCCTGCGGATTTGGGGTTTAGGGCTAGGGTTTAGGGTTTTGGGATTCAGGGTTTAGGGTTGAGGGTGTAGGGTTTAGGGTTGAGGGTTTAGGACCTTTGAAGATTCTAGATTCCACCCCTCCCCCCCCTTCAACTCAAAAAACATAAACAGAAAACACGCAGACACATGCCGGGAGTGCCACGGCTTCTGGCGGGCCGAGGTCCTTTGGCCTGGCAAAGCCAGGTCTTCAGGACATCTCTTGCTGTGGGGGGGTTGTTAGGCTAAACCCTAAACCCTAAACCCTAAACCCTAAACCCTAAACCCAAAGGTTTGGGGCTCAGGCCCTCTGAGTCGAGGGGCTTCTGGTTGGTACTGTGTCCAGTTCAGCACTGCCAGTACCAGTTAAGAGGGTTTAGGGTTTAGGGTTTAGGGTTTAGGGCGAACACGGACTTCTGGAGGCACTTGACCGATCTTATGGCGCCGCCTGTATTCCTATGCCATGCGCACGGCAGCCCTCATGACTTATGAGCGCACCCGGAGTCACGATACTCGGGCCGACAGAGCACACCCTCCCTAGGCATACTTCGCCTGGGCTCAGGCGTTCGCAGCGGCTCGGACACAGTGCTCCACTCTGACGGGCCAGCCTCGCGGTCGCGGATGCTGGCGAGGGACGTATAAGAGTGGAAGCAGGGTGTTGAATGACTGGCGTTGAATGGAGCCTCTTCTTGAAGGTCATGTTCCCTGATAGTACAAGCTCATGGCACCGACATCCTAACACTGCACAAGTTGAGAATGCTCAGCATATGCCGTCGACAAGCCACACGGACCATCCCCAGCCTGCCCACAACTCTACGCATTGCAAGAAGGAAATCCATCCCCATGAATGCACGTATACATCTGGTTCGGGGAGTCGGCCTCAGTGTGACATCGCACCTGCAGGACATAGTCCTTGGACGTGCGTGGCGGGTGACATGGCAAGCATGGAGCCACGACAGCAGGAAGCCGAGTTCTATGGTCCACGATGTATGTGTTGCAACATCGTGGAGAAGTTCTTTGAGAGCCTTGATGTGCAATGTGCGCAACAATAGCCACCGAGAAGCTGTCCCCAACGACACTCCTTCGAGGTGGTACTCTGGGAAGACTTCGTCGCCGCTGAAGACCTTGGTTTGGGAACCGGACATGTGCTGACGCTCTTCCTTCCCATCTGTCCATACATGAAAGAGAGATTCTCGTTCATGTCGACACGAACTTGCTAGCAACGTATGATTCCGGGAGTTAAAACACTCCAAGGGGCTGTGAGTGCAGGAGTGGGGCCTGGTGTTCTGAGACCCTTCAACTTGGACCTTAAAGCAGTGTTGAGGTCTCGGGTTAAACTTCCGACCGAACACTCCAGCTAAGCGGCCGCCAATGGCTCCGCTCCTTGCAGATACTGCGAGTGCTCCCACAGCTTCAGATCCTGGGGCGGGGGGACCCTAAACCCTAAACCCCAAGTGCAAGTCGTAGGAGGTTTCGAGGTTTCGGGGCAAGTGGGAGCTTGTAGGCTGAAGTGCGTGGAAAGGAAGCAGCAGCAGCAGCAGTAGAAGCAAGCAGTAGAACCCGGCACGTGCTTCAGTCAAGCTGCATGGGCAAGGATTGGCGATCCGCCCGAGTCCAGTGGCTCATGCCAGTTGACAATAATGAAACCTCCGCGCCAAAGGGTCACCGACTTCAAACTTGCCCCGAAGCTCAGCTTCTGCTTTCATCGAATACCAAGACACCAACCCAAGAGGCAACATTCTAAAGCTCCGGGTTCTTCATGTGGTCACAAAGCATCGTAGGCAGAAATTTACTCCGGGGCACAGCCGGGTTCGGATAGTCCAGCCGCAGTCAGGTATGGAGCACCTCAGCTGAGTGTCGAGGGTTGTCGCCTTGTTCGTTCCCCAAGCGACCTCTGACACGACCCTAAACCCTAAACCCTAAACCCTAAACCCTAAACCCTAAACCCTAAACCCTAAACCCTAAACGCTCGCTCATATGGGTGTCGTGTTTCCGGCCGGTTCGTCCAGCAGAAGGGCGGCTTAGGCCTCTCTGATTCTGCACTCGTCAACTCGTCAGCCCCTAAAAAACTCAATGCATCTACATATTGCGCCCCAGACCGTCTCTCAATCCCACCAAAAAAAAGATCTGGTATCCTGAGCCTGAAAATACCCCGGACCCTTTGATCCCTAAACCCTAAACCCTAAACCCTAAACCCTAAACCCTAAACCCTACACCCGGTCAAACAGGCAGATCAAGCAGCTCGGGGGGCTTGGCATCCGCGTGTGCACACTGAAGGACAGCGGTGGGCCCACCATGCTCAAGGCCCTCCATAGCGGGTTTAGGGTTTAGGGTTTAGGGTTTAGGGTTTAGGGTTTAGGGTTTAGGGTTTAGGGCTTTAAGTGCAGGCATTTAGGGCTGTTAAGGGTTTGGCCTTTTGGTGTTTGCCAGGTCGCTGGCATGTAGCAGCTTCAACAAAATCTAACCTGCCCATCTGCCTGTCTCAGGGTACTTCGAAAATAAATCTTTTCAACACCCTCACGACCAAAAACGACCCACAGACTCCGCACCCCTCCACCCCAAGCCAGCCTCAGCCCGTCTTCAGAGGCACAAAGCTGCAGCACCCAAAGGCCCGAAGCACCTCGCCAAGAAGGGTCGAGGGGTTTAGAGTTACCCTAAACCCTAAACTCTAAACCCTAAACCACATGGGGTTTCCGAATTAGGGGTGCCTTATTGGGGTCCTCATTACAAGGGCATCCTACTACTTTGGGGCCTATTTTAAGGGTCCGCGATTTTCGTAAACCCCCACATGCCGGAGCGTCTTTTGGGGTCTTGGGATGGAAAATGAGGTTTCAGTGTGTGTGTGTGTGTGTAGGTTGCTGGGTATTGTCTATAGCGCCTCCGGAAAAGAGGAGTTGAGTACTTCCACGAGCTGGCAACTCTTCTAGTGCTCTTGAAGCAAACTTGGTCAACACTCCTTGCGGACACCGTCCGCTCCGAAGATCGACACGTGCAGTTCTGCTGACACATGGTTGGCAAAGAGCTATGAGTTGGGATGTTCCCCTTAGTACAAGGGTCAGGAAAAGGGTGAACATCATAAACTAGAAGTCAAGAGTGACAAAGACGAGGGCGAACCTCGACACTGTCGAGCATGCTCCGAGCAACCACAAGCCCAAACAAACCAACACCGGCACACTCTTCCTCGGCTGCCTATGCACCTTGCAACATGCGTACACGGAAAGAAGAAAGCGCTCGGACTGACAAGGATGACACGACACGTGACAACTCAGGAAACTATGATCGACATACAGCAGAGGAAAGAGCAATTCGGCTGGCGAGCCTTGCAAGCCAACGCCGTGCAACCTAAACACTGAACACTCTTTGGCGTTGCCATCTCCAGTACCTCTGCACCCCTGAAGATCAGATGAACCCCTAAAATTGGGGTCATACAACCTATACTCTGACAATTCCAATTATGTCTTATCGACCATAAACCCTTTTAGGGTTCATTCGGTCCTCAAGGACACCCACCACACCACAGAAAGTCAGCCATGTGCCTGGAGCGCGCCGCCCCGGGGCGCGTATCAGTGCCACGGCGAAGCCCCGGGAGGCAGGCTCCAGGAGGGCTCGGGACCTGATTTGTTACTTAATTGACAGGTTTAGGGTTCAGGGTTTTATAGGGTTTAGGGTTTAGATAGGTTTCGTGCGCATACTTCAATCGGAAAGGCAATGACACCCACGAACCCACACTACACTTATCAAGACTCTGTGTCTTCACTGCGTGCGGCAAAGACCCTCAAACACCACCCCAACCCCCGCCCCCACCCAAAAACTTCCCCAGCCTAAACCCTAAACCCTAAACCCTGGAGCCGCACCCTAGAGTCGAAGTCTGCTGCTGCTGCTCAAGCTTCCAGCTAGCTTAGATTCCATGGGGAGGCCTCAATGTAACACCACGCCGTGACGCTGTTGATGGGCTTTCCTTTACCAGGATGGGCTACTATACATTATAATCCCTTAAACAGGCCCTTGATAGGGTTGGTTATGGGGATTATAAGGCCTAATAGCCCATCCTGGTATTAACATGTCAACAAATGATTAACTCGCATATGCGCATATTTGATATTTTAATAAGGCCGCCCAAACCTCAACGAGGCCTGGCGGTGAAGGCTGATCCCTTCCCCCTCAAATACATACACCCCTGATTTAACACACCCCTGGCCCAAAATCCCGATCCCGTGCCTGTCCCCATTAAAACCTCTACAGAGAGAAACTTGAACCTTTCCCAAACCTGAACCTTTTGGGCCGAAGGCTTAGGGTTCAGGGTTTAGGGTTTAGGGATACCTAAACCCTAAACACTGCTGGTTTTTCGGACAAACGATAAGAACCCCCCCCTCCTTCTAAAACCCTTTGGGGGTTTTATACAAGGGAGGGGGGGGTGCCTTTGAAATTAGGGGGAAGGGAGTATGGAGATTGCACGTTGCCAGCCTGCACCTGCAGCCAGCCCCTAAGATCGATTTCTCCCAGGAATACGAAGTCAAAAGTGGTCGCTTTCTTGCATACTAGAGGGGTCGAAAAAATTAATAAAATCCCTTACGGCCCCTTTCTAACTATACTATAGCCCCCCCCCCCCCCAAACCCTAAACCCTAAACCCGAAACCCTAAACCCTAAACCCTATTCTAATTATTTCGGCTCCCGCCATTACTTTCCATTAGCAGGCCCCTAAGCAGCAGGCTCAATCTCCACGCCGTCCGTAATTGAGCGCTCCAGCCCGAGAGGCACCTCAACAAAAAAGTGAAGCAACTGACTTTTGTTGCTGTACTAGTGCTATTATTTGATATTACGATTATTTATTGAGGATTTTTTATTTGTGTCTTTATCTCATTCTTGTTCTGATTTTGATATATGTGTAACTGACCTCTGGCTCGTGCTCATCAAGGGGTTGACGGTTGACAATCGAATGCAGCAAAAAAATCTTGCATCAGTGACAACTCCTGGTCCACTGAAAACACGCACAAGCCACGATCCCCTCAACTCTGAACATTTTGGTTTCATCGCTGACGCTCCGACACACCAGGAGAGGAACACTGTCAATCAGTCATTGTGGGAAGCCACATTCGGCCCGCCGTGACACTCTCTCCAAACTTCAGTGAAGTCCTCGACGCTATTACCTCTCAGCCCGGTTTGGGGTTGAGGTCTGTCAGTCACGACGCACAGCCCGAAATTCCAGCGCACCAAAGACTGGGTTGCCCAGTAACCTGGGATTAAAAAGGGTGCCCTTTTTGCTTAAAGGGGTTTATTAGGGAACTTAAACCCCCCAAAAGGGAATAAAGGCACTACTGGGCATCCTAGAAGATGCACTGCGGCCAAGCCACCACAGCAAGGAAAGGTGCTCCGCCCAGCGCCTTCAGCTCAAGTTGCCCGAAGCTCGTTTGATGTCCATGCACGGCTTCGATGGTTTTTTTTTTAACAACCCTTCACTCCTTTTCGCTTCGATGGGTTTAGGGTTTAGGGTTTGGGGTTTAGGGTTTAGGGTTTGGGGTTTGGGGTTTCGGGTTTAGGGTTCAGGGTGTGTTGTTATCTTCTCGTTTGTTGTTCGGTCTTTGGTGGCAAGAGGGATACGCCTGGTTCCAAGGCTTCGGCTTCCCAACGATGAGGATGTGCAAGAAGATACAGGTTCACACTGAAACAGACCATGGCCGGAAGAATGAAAGCCACGAAGCCTAAACCCTAAACCCTAAACCCTGAACCCTAAACCCTAAACCCCCTAAACCCTAAACCCTAAACCTCAGACTCTCAAGCTCCACCCGAAGCCTCGCTGGCAGAGCTGGGCAAGGTGAAGTGCACGGCGCTGGCTGTTGCCCTGCGTTTTTTTAAGGGATCTTTTTTTGCCACCCGACTAGCCACGGCAATGCGGAGTGCAAGGGATCTATCCCTTAAGGGTTTAGGGTTTAGGGTTTAGGGCTATAGGGGCTGCACAAGAAATCGCAGCGTGCTCCGGGCTCCAATGTTTCCGGGGTATCCTTGAACGTCTGCATAACCAGAACTGATACCTGTCTGAATTACACCCTAAGCTACCTTCAACCTCGATTTCTTGACACACGAACCAGCAGTTGTGAGGGCGCATGCACTGGAGCCCTCGCACACAAGAGGCATAACATCCCACACACGCCTCGACGTCCACATCATGGACATGTTTGGTGCTGGTCATTTCTGAAGCGAAAACCCTAAACCCTAAACCCTAAACCCTGAACCCTGAACCCTGAACCCTGAACCCTGAACCCTGAACCCTGAACCCTAAACCCTAAACCCTAAACCCTAAACCCTAAGCAAAACCGCCGAAGGCTCTCTCTCTGACCTCCTGGCCAAGCGGTGCCCGAAAAAGCCATACGGCTGCGTGGAGGCTCGGACGACCATGGCCTGGTGTAGGGGCTTTTGAAGCTAGGTTTAGGGTTTAGGGTTTAGGGTTTATAGGGTTTAGGGTTTAGGGTTTAGGGTGGGAAGGTGTATTGGTCGGGAGTTTGGGAAGAGGGATTACGTCAAGAAGAGGGGTGGGTTTGGGCTTAAGGTTCAGCGGCCTTTTGGCCCACCCTTGGCAGGGGCCTGCTGCAGCAGTTGGAACCCTCCGATCTCTCTCTCTCTCTCTCTTTCTCTCTCTCTCTCTCTCTCTCTCTCTCTCTCTCTCTCTCTCTGTCTCTCTCTCCCTAAACCCTAAACCCTAAACCCTAAACCCTAAACCCTAAACCCTGAACCCTCTCTCTCTACTTTAATCGGCGACTCAGAACCGCCATGAAGTTGACGACGCCCCATTTCCCCGCATCATTTAGATCCCACCAAGCCATCCCAAGGCTGCAAAAAACGATTCGATGAGGCAAGGGTTCGGAGCCTCATACGGACGGAAGCTGGTCTTCGCCACGCAGAGCCTTTCCGTCCTGAATTTCGGGTGCTCTGTCCCCTTGAGAATTGCTTATGAAATAGGTTCCCTTATCAAGAAAGAAGAGAAACGAAAAATCTCCCAAAGCGCAACCAGGCTATCTATAACAGCCATGCGATTCAGTTGCACTAACAAGCAGCCTCTAACCGGTAATTGACACAAACCTGCCAGCGCATGCACCAAAGTTGAACAAAAGAGCCAGGATCAAGACACACTTTGCTGGAAGGCAGCTTTAAGGGTTTAGGGTTTATAGGGTTTAGGGTTTATAGGGTATAGGGTACATAGGGTTTAGGGTTTTCGTTGCTAGCAGCCATGTCGCAGCTGAGGCTGTGTAGATGAGTCAAGCATGCAAGCCATGGAGCTCTTTACGTCGTCATCCGAAATTAGCCCAGTTCCGAGAGCCGAACATGTACACATTCCTGCCTCCGAAAACGGTCTACCCCCAGGGCTTCTTTCAAAGATGATGCCCGGATTTTTGAATCGGACAGGCGGTCAGCATGCAGAGCTGAATGCGCGCCGCCGCGTTTTTTATACTCCGTTGTTGGGACATCTCGTGCCATTCACAGGGCCGGCGTCCTTCGAATCCATATCAACCCACAGGAAATTTTGGTGCAAACCCGAGACTTCTGGAATCAACCCTTCTGAACGAGTAGTAACCGGTCCGTACAGTGCCCACAATGAACAGCGTCCATCTAGGCACTATGACACCTCAAGCGCCATCAAACACCCCGATGATGTCATGTTAACCTCAGGCAATATGGACAACCCAGCTCAACGCGGCACCCAAGTTGGAGAATCTGCGTTCCAGCGGCAGATTCGGAAAGAGCCTGGAGCCAGTCAAGCACAAGGTGAATTCGGCGAGCTCAGGATTCAACCGCAGTGACTATGTCAAAAATGGCTGAAGCAAGAGCTGTGTTGCTAGAAGGAGAAGTATAGGCAACTTGCAAGCTGACCTACATGAAGCAAATCGCTACATCATCTGACAGGTGGCACACTGCTACAAGGGAACATCTCCCATTGGATGAGCGTACACGAGACCGGCGCAGTGTACCGCAGGATTGCACTGCGGTAGAGGCGCGAGTAACAAAACACCCGAGTTACCATGCTCCCCCCGGCTTCAGGGTTGCAGCATTTCGGGTCCTGCTCTTCCTGCTTGGTACTTCAGAAGCTAAAGGCTAGCCCCCCCCCCCACCCTCCCCCCCTAGCCGCCATCTTTTGATGCATACGCGCTCTGAGACGGGATGGCTTTGAATGATCACGCCCATAAATTAAGTCATGCGGCGCTCCGGCCTCTTTGGCAGAATCGCAGGATGCGAGTGATCTATGGAATCGCATCGAGTGAGGTGGCGGATAGGACGCGGATTTGAGCTAGGGGTAAGAAGGTGTGTGCGAGTGGGCGACTGGCATGTCTCTGGTCCCATCCTCCGCTGTAATTGTATGATGAGATGGAGCGGCTTGCAAAAAAAGAGCCCCATCCAGCCCCCCCCACCCACCCCCAAAGGCCGTAACAACACCACCCTCATACTGTATTCCAGGACGACAAGGCACTATCTCTAGGACTCCTACTGCAACCTCTTGTAGGGTTTTACGATATTAGGGGTACCTTTTTGGGGTCCTTGTCATGTGGGGATCCTACTATCAGGGGGTCATAGGGGGTCTATACTAGGGGTCCCCTGTTATTTTCGTAAACCCCCTTAGTAGGTTTGTGAGATCCCGGCGAGGTGAGCTCGCGAAGCGCCGGCTGGAGGGCACCAGAAAGCATCGCATCCTGGGAGTTGCGCCCCATACCAATGTGCTTTGGGTGCTTGAGGCACTTCTCCTTTTTTTTGTTGGGGGGGGGGGGGGGGGAATAATAGTATAAAGGACCATAAGGGAATGCCGTGAGTGTGATCTTGCAAAGAAGGAGGAAGCTTAGCACGCGGCAGCGGTTCGGCGGGCCTGGTTTTCCACCTGCCGCGCAGCCTGGCAGAAGACACCCAGATCTTCCAAAACCCCTTAATTAAGTTATATACCCTAATTTATCTTAGTATAAATTAGGGTAATTCACGATAAGGATCCTTAGTATAAATTAGGGTATATATGCCTTAATTAAGCGGTTTTGGAAGATCTGGGCATGTCGACTCAACCATGCAGACAAGATAGCCAGCGCATGCCAGCGTGTGCTTCATTTGTTCTGCTTGCGTATGCCATGTGAAGCTGCATGAGCATACGGGTCATGCGGGTATGCCCAACCAAGGTGTTTAGACGACCTAAGCGAACCTGAGCTGAACCCAGCGACGATCTGCCGAAATGTCCACAGAACAACTAAAAGTCCTCAAACGTTGCATGAAGCCCTGCAAAAAGCCCTCGGCATCCCTAGGCGCTGGCCTAAAGTGGCCTAACATAGCAGCAACTCCAACTCCTCCCAAATCCAAGGAGAAGTGCAAGTCTACCTTCAGAAGCTTCTTCTGGCCTCCATCTTGGCCTCAGCCTCTGGAAGCAGCCTGGCAAGTTCGTATTGATTCAGGGCTGTAGGGAAATCTTAAGAGCTCGGGGCAGAGTGGCGAGCCCTTTCTCCTGCTCCTTGGAGCCCTGTGCGCTCGCTTCAGGGCAGCAGTAAACCTGAGGTCAGGATTCATCGTCGCCAGGCCACTCCTCGTGCATGGACATGCATGATCATGCATGCATGTGATACGAAACCTTGCACACCCCCCTTTGTTTGAACGAGGTCTGTCTCAAGTACCCTACACCCTAAACCCTAAACCCTAAACCCATTCACGCGAAATGCCAGACGAAAATTGATTCTGGCGAAATGGCACCGTCAGACCCAAGAAGGAGGCCGAAAGGCCCAGGCAACTTGTAATTGTAGCCGACATTGAACCTGGACCTGGAACGTGCCTGAAACTCCAAACAGTCATCAGATGTCATCAGCGTCATCCCAAACAGTCATCCCAAGCTCCTGAAGAACCCAGACTCCCCTCAGAATGCCCACGAAACTACTTCGAAAAGCCGATGAACACTCGAAACTTGAAACTGCCCTTCGGGCCTGCAGTGGCTGGAGCCCCGCAACGCATGGAACCATTGCCGCTCCTGGGCTGCTTGGAGCAGTACCAGCATGGGCTATAAGGCCTCATGATCCCCCTAACCAACCCCAAGAAAGGGCCTTTTCAAGGGGGGTTGTAGGGTAGAATAGCCCAGGCAGGTAAAGCATGTGAACATCTGTGAACATCTGTGAACATCTGTGAACACATGTGAAGGGTTCCATGAAAAAGGACTTGCAGGATGTCGTAGAGTTTGGTGCTTTAGCTTGGGGTGCCATGGCTCGCAGCAGCAACGTACCAGACTTCAAGCCCAAGAGGCGGTCAGGGCGTAGACATCACACTCTGTCTTGGCCTCGCGCTGTGCGGCGCGTGCCTGGGTCAGCAGAGGCTCTTAGCCGAACAGCACAGCAGAACCCTCCCTAAACTATAGTCCTAAGCCGAGGCATCGCAGGCTCCCTATGCGATTACCCCTCTTGGTTTTCGGGTTGTCTGCATGGCCAAAAAGCCTCTGCGTGCCGCTCCGAGGCGACGCGCTGCATGTAAAATGAAGGTCCAACACCGATGTATCACAAGCAGATCGGACCGAACATGACGCACATGGCGTGGGATCAATTCCAAGAATAAGCCCCAAAACCCTAAACCCTAAACCCTTTTTCACAAGGGACTCGACTGCTGCCCTTTCTGCCCAGCCCGTTCCCACGCCACAGTTTCCTAAACCCTAAACCCTAAACCCTAAACCCTAAACCCTAAACCCTACAACTAAGGCATCGCTGATGCTGAGGCCCCAGCCACATGGCCACCTACGTCGGTGGCCCGCGCGGCCGAGGCCCCCGGTAGGCGCGGCGGCGCAAACAACTTGCCAAGAGAATCTTCTAGGGTTTTGGGTTTAGGGTTTAGGGTATAGGGTTTAGGGGTTAGGGTTTAGGAGGCTTTGGAGTTTGGGGTGTAGGTTTTTTGCTTCAGGGGGTTTGGAGTTTACCGTTCTTCAAGGGGGTTTGGAGTTTAGGGGCGGTGCGAGGGAAGGGAAGCTGTCAGCGACAGTCGGCATCTGTACATAGCGCAGCTCCCTGCTGCCGGAACTGTATTCCTTACTCCTACCTGGCGACAACCCTGCAATCTTGACCTATATTGACCAAACACCCTAGCGCACAAAAGGCCCTTTGCTGAAGCCGGGTGCATCCATTCCAAAACCAAACTATCTCCTTCCTGAACTCCCGAAAGGCCAAGCCCTGTAATCCCCTAAGGCCCTAAGCCTTAAGCGACGAACCCAAAGCGTTCTTGACCACCCACCTCCGGGGACAAGCTGCGCTGCGCTGCGGCGCCTAAGCCGTGGGACATGCCCAGCACGCGCACCCGAACTCAACTCCTCCCTGCCATCCTGTGGCCCCAAGAAGCTCAAAACGCTAACCCCCGACGCCAAAACCCGAAAACCGTGCAAATCATACGGTACAGGAGGGCGTGCAACTTTTTCGGATTGCCAACTCAGTGAAACACGCTGTTTTTTTCTCGGAGTTTTGTCACTGCGTTCCATCTGTTTCCTCCACTGCCGCGCACTTCTGGACATAAACCACAGGTGTTTCCCCTAAGCCCTAAACCCATGTACAGGAGACAGCAAGAGCAAGAATATACTCTCAAACCATTAATTACGCCCAAGACTCTTTGTAGACTGGGAGTCCACGGTGCCACTACAGCTACCAGAGCCAGTATATAGGGGCCTTGATAATTAGAATAGGATTTTTGGGGGTCAGTATAGTATAACTATGAAGGGACCATAAGGGAATACTACTAGTAATCATTCCGACCGCAACAGCAGTCTCGTGCACCCCCTCACCTCCCTATGATCTCAAGATGCTCGCCCAAAGGATGTTAAAACAGGGCCAGCCGCCCTTCTCCCAGGACTAGCCCAGAAACGTCGCGGAGTCAGCTTGCAAACCTTTGCGCACGGAACCTCAAACGAACAACCCCTGCCCAGAAAGATCCCTAAACCCTAAACCCTAACCCTAAACCCTAACTTTGTGTTAAGCCTCTAAATGCTACGATGCCATCTGCAGGCTGGCCGCTGCGAGACTGGGTTTGGTTCACCTGGCTGGCCTGGCACCAGGGAAGTTTAGGGTTTAGGGTTTAGGGTTTAGGAACAGAATCGAAGTTTTACGTGAGCCAGCTGCCAGAACCTCAATCTCGGTCAGCTGAACTTTAAACTTTTCGGGTTTCCTTGTTTAGTAGGAATAATAAAGTTTAACCTTGTTTTCCCCTTGGTTATTGGAGATGTAAGATACATGTTAGACTGAATAGCCAGAATCATATTGAATGCATGGAGGGTGGCCCTTCCTAAGCGATCCCCACGTTCTCGGAAGGGGCCCAGAAGGGGCGCAATGACCAAGTTTGCACTTTTTTTGCAGACCCTGCGATCTTCTTCCTACTTGTCTTAGATCTCCTCATTTGGAGTTGGCACATGATATTGTTCTAAGGCAACAAAGCAATGACGTCGAAGCCTCGCAGGTCAGAGTGCTCTCCCCATGCCAGGATTGCGCAACTCCAGAGGAAAATGCACCCCAACATGTGCCGAATGATGGCCGATGCCCAACTCCCACCATGAACATCCAGAAACGAAACCATGTTGCACGTGTGAACTCCGTGCAAAAGCCAGGAAGGTACTGCAATCCTTACCCTCAGCCTACTGTTTGCTTAAGAACCCCAAAAGAATAAACAACAATAACCCCTGTATTACCCTTATAAGGAAGGATATCCCTAAACCCTAAACCCTAAACCCTAAACCCCAAACCCTAAACCTTTTCTATTTTTCGGGGGTTCTTAAGCAAATAGTCGCAGCCCGCCTTCGGTAGCAAGTTGAATGCCGAGGTGAGGTCCCCAAACGAGTGGACCAAGCGGATAGCAACATCCTGCGCCGGCACAGTGGGAGCCTAAACCCTAAACCCTAAACCCTAAACCCTAAACCCTAAACCCTAAACCCTACAGATAGACATCAAGTTCGGAGCCCTGAAACTCCAACTCCACCAAAAAGTGTAGCAGCAGCATCTGCAACACATGCCAATGAAGTTTCTTTCCAGCACCAGGGCCTGAGGACATCCCACACTTGAGGGCCGGAGGCAGGGAGGACGAAAGCTCGGGGGCCGGAAGCAAGAGCAAAGTTGCAAGAGAAAGTGCGGGCAGGGCCCAGTTGGAGGCATGCTTGAGGGGCCAGCGTTTCTTTTCAGCCGTCGCAGTGTTGGGTAGATACTAGCTTCTTGCAATCAACTAGCTTGTTGCAATCAACACATCACTAGTGGGCGGACCCTGACTCACGCGCTGCGGTCAACACGAGACGGAGTCAGGTCTTGACGTAAAAACGCCTCCCCTTAAGGTATTGATATATCAATTTACCCCCCCCCCCCCACCCCCCCCCCTCCCCCCCCCTCCCCCCTTCCAAAACCAAGGAATTCGTGTGATATATCAATTTACCCCCCCCCCCCCCCCCCCCCCACCCCCCCCCCCCCCTAGTAAGATAGTATCAATAATACGCTGTTTTCTGGCCGTGGTCGGCCCCCTGCTGCTAAAGCAGATGAAACTCCAGCTTCGCTACGCGAGCTTTCGTGACATCCCAAAGATCTAGAGCTAAAAGACGCGCATACACCCTAAACAAAGGCAGTTGGTTGCCTTAAATCCCAACCCTCGGCCCAAGGGCCTGAACCCACTCCCAAAGTTTGATTCCTCAGCCTGCACAGTAGAGCAGGCAGTAAGCGCCGAATCGGTCCACCCTCAACTTAAACCTCAACTCCCTCACTCGCCTCTCAAGCAGCAAATCCTACAAGCCACTTCAAGCTGAAAGCATCCTCAACCCTAAACCCTAAACCCTAAACCATCCTCAACCCTAGAATCCGCGGCCTCCAGCAGCAGTCCCTGCCCAGGCCTGGCACCGGAGCACTTGAGCGCACGAACGCAACGGGGGAGGTCCCCGGTCGTGTCACAGTCTCCCCTATAAACCCTGAACATCCCTGAACCCTACCGTAAACCACATGCTTATCACTTTCCATAAGCCCCTTAAATTAAGGTATATACCCTAATTCATAATGAGGATCCTTAGTATACATGCGGGTATATACCTTAATTAAGGGGTTTTGGAAGATCTGGGACACTGACGGCCACTGACTTTCTTGGTGCTCATCTCCCAAACCATATAGGAAACTGCCCATGCATGTAGACCTCGTCGATGACGACCGCAGCTGCGGCACCTTTCAGACAACTGCACCAGTTCGTGCAAACAAAAACCACTTTTGCCATGTCTGTCAAGGCCCTCACATGCAGAGGCCCTCTACACACGTAGAGGCCCTCCCAGCACACAGGCTGCGATGAACACGCTGCGGGCTAAACATAGCATCGTGGTATTCCCCGCCTTTTGGTCGATGATTCTTCGTGCCAAAAGGTCGAAGTCCAGACCACACTTTGACCTCGGTCTAGGTTGCCTTGACACTGCGTTGCTTATTTTTCCAATGGTACTGATTAGATACTATAGCAGTTACTAGCAGCTTATCAGCATGGACCACCTCAGCTTGCCAGGTCAATCCCTGAAGCCACGACATCTTGAAATCCTAAGTTCTGAAAGTGAATCAATTTGCTTTCTAGCCTGTGGAACTGCCGGGTAGATTGAATCCTAAACCCTAAACCCTAAACCCTAAACCCTAAACCCTAAACCCTAAACCCTAAACCCTAAACCCTAAACCCTAAACCCTAAACCCTAAACCCTAACCGCCCCCTCCCCCCCCTCCCCCCCAATCCCTCCCCCAAGCCCTGTGGCACCTCTCACCGCTCATGCGCACGGCGTCCAGCCAGTGCAAGGCATCGGAGCTCGGGATCTGCCAGGTTCTTAATTGAGGTTGTTTAGGGTTTAGGGTTTAGGGTTTAGGGTTTAGGGTTTAGGGTTTAGGGTTTAGGGTTTAGGGATACTTAAGCCGAAAGAAGGCTATTTGAGGGGAGAATCTAACCCTAAACCCGTTTCGCTCAACATCGCCACCTGAAAAGTTGCAAAACCCTTGAAGTCAGCTGTAAAAGGTTCATTCTTGGGTCCTTTTGTCGAACTCAGGCGTCGCGATGGCCTTTTTGAAGGCTTTGGGAACCCTCCGAGGCGCGTGTGGCGGCTCTGTTTCCGGACTCAGCCGAACTTTAAGAACAGTCAGGATGTTGAACCCTAAACCCGAAACCCTAAACCCTAAACCCTAAACCCTAAACTGTGTCGGGCTTTTCGCTTTGAGAGGAAGCCCAGATAAGGCGCATGTGTCACGTTCATCGAGCTTCTTCGGGACAAACCGTGGCTATTCACCAAAGCGCATATCCAGCCCGTGCCTCAATTGCAGCCGTAAGTCCGTAAGTTCTCCCTCCTGTAATTCTGAAGTCCGCATCAAATTCAGGCAGCTTCGCTGAACATGGATGCGGTTGGTATGAACAAGAAGGCCTCGCACATCTCACAACGAAGCTATACCAACGTCGTGAAAATTCCAAAGGTTCACGCCCGTTTCGCGACAAGTTAGATCAACCACAGCATTATAGCGTGCCCTTTCGAAGGGTTTTGCTCCTGACTGCTGTCCTGTTGCGTGCCAGCTCGGCATTGCGGGCTCGGTAAATCCAACAGCCCAAGGGTGGGGAGATACACCATAACGCCCAGAATCCGAAGCACCATTGGCAGAGGTCTTCTTGAGCTCCGGTACCTTCACCCGCCTTCTGCAAATGTGACCCGGATGAATAAGCCATGCGTTTTGCAATGAGATCCCTTGCTCGGAGCTCTCCACAGGAGACTGGCGGCCAAAAGGACAAAACAAGTAGTGGAACATTATAGAGAACAGTATCGAGATAACGCAATATTATTCACATTCCCCCTGAACCCTAAACCCTAAACCCGGAACCCTAAACCCTAAACCCTACACTTGGCCGGCCTCCTGCAAGGACAGCGCCTCGGCGAAATCCGCGCTGCGGAGGGCCGAGGACGAGGCCTGGAGATCCTTCGGGATGCTTCTGCTGAACAAGCCAAGGGTTTAGGGTTTAGGGTTTAGGGTTTAGGGTTTAGGGTTTAGGGTTTAGGGTTTAGGGTTTAGGGTTTAGGGTTTAGGTTTAGGGCTTCGGGTTTAGGGTTTGATAAGGGAATCCATATTTTCAAAAAAGGGAATGCTCGGGCTCCTAGCAAAGCTTGTGAATGGATGATTCTTGTTTAACGCTATCTCTCAAAAGAAAGATTTTGTTTAGGGTTTAGGGTTCAGAGCTTCGGGTTTGGGATCCATCCATCCTAGGTGACGAAAGGAACCCCAAAAGGGTTTATGGCTGATTTTCGCTTCATAGGGGTTAGAGTAGTATGGGTCTTCGGGCATATGACCCGAATTTTTCACGGTTCATTTGGTCTACAAGGATGGGGGTGTCCCTCCGGACATCACCCCAAGAGGGAATCGGGGTGCAGGTTCGGGGGTTTGGGGACGTAGGGCTGTGCAGCTGAGGAGTCGATCTATGGACCCTGGCATTGGTTGTTTCCAAAGACACAGGGCGCCTGAGAGTTCTGAACGGTTTTGACGAACTGCGCGAAGAGATGAGCAGTTTCTCTTCAACAAGGGTAAATGAAGATGCATTTCTTCTTGGGAGCAGTTTCTCTTCAACAAGGGTAAATGAAGATGCATTTCTTCTTGGGAACCTGGAACTGTGATGATTGTACGGGTGCCTCTGGACTAAAACTTCGGATCTAGAGGTCGCCACGTCAGCGAGTTGCACGGGTACAATAGCTGCCACTGATCAAACTAGACTGCAAACTCTGCTCGCTCCGACCGGCACACTACAGCGCCATACTCCCCTACTCCCCTAAACCCTAAACCCTAAACCCTGAACCCTAAACCCTAAACCCTAAACCCTAAAACCTAAGCCCTAAACCCTAAACCCTAAGCCCTAAGCCCTGCACGGTTTGTATCCCACGCCAGCGCTCAACGCATGACTTGATCCGACCAGTCCGGCGCCGCTTTCCCAAGATCCAAAGATGCACCCTGAGTCCATCCTTGGGTTTAGGGTTTAGGGTTTAGGGTTTAGGGTTTGGGGTTTGGGGTTTGGGGGTTTGGGGGTTTGGGGGTTTAGGGTTTAGGGTTTAGGGTTTAGGGACCAAATGGGGGTTTATGATGTTCGGGGGCACCTTCTTGGGGTCCTTCTAACAAAGGGAATCCTACGAGTTGGGGTCTATATTAGGGGTCCCTTTTTTTTTTTAAATCGAAATCCCTTAAAATGGGTCATATGACACTACCACAACCCCTACTAAGGTATAATATGAACCAGGAACCCTTTTAGGGTTCATGTGGTCTTCCATCCTGAGCCTTACATGCCCCTGAACCCTGAACCCTGAACCCTGAACCCTGAACCCCGAACCCTAAACCCTAAACCCTAAACCCTAAACCCTAGCCCTAAACCCGAAACCCTGAGCTACGCGCCCTCTACGGCTCTACGGGTCTCAGATGGTCTCAGGGCCATGTCAGGACCCCAGGTCACCAAAAGATGCAAAGCCGCTCAGTTCAGTCTGAGGCAGTGGGGTTTGGGGTTTGGGGTTTTAAGGAGTTTAGGTTTAGGGTTTTTAGGAGTTTAGGTTTTTTTTTCGGTTCAGACTTCTGCAAAAACAAATCGGGGTGCCAGGCACAGTATCAAGCTACACTTTCTGCCCAGAAACCCTGCGAGTATAAACCCGTGGCCTAAGGCAGGCTTGGATTTTGCTCTTAGGGCCTAGGGACTTCGCGCGGTGCTGTCAGATGGTCTGTTCCGAGACTGTGTCCAGTCGGCAGAAGTTGTTGGGCGACAATGTTTAGGGTCCCGCGCGCCTTCAGAACTGCTGCGTTTGAATTCGTTCTTGGTTTCTAGAATATATCGGCATGTTTGCCAGAACTCGAGCTGCTTCACAGCACGCGGTGCGTCGCTGCTATGCGAAACACACTTAAAGAGGCGATGGGAAATTGCCTGGGCGGCCTGTACAAGGCCCGGGCACCACAATCTGGCCAGGGCAAAGTCCCATACCAAGCAGGGAATCCTGAACCTTGTCAAGAAGTGTTGGTTACACGTTTTCGGATGTCCAGCCCGGAGAGTAAAACCAAACCTCCTCGGCTCTTTTTTGGGCTCGGGAAGTCAGGGGTTGAGTCCTTCGAATACGCTCCATATTGCGATGAGTTTGGAACTACGGACCTCAGTTGCGGAGTTCATAAGACCCCCAAAAGTGTACACTTTCAGTTGTATGGGGGATTATAGTACATCTACGAGACTCTTCTGAACGACTTTCGTGATTCCAAGGCTTCAACCGTCGCCATGGATAGGGACTCTGCGCGTGCCAAAAAAAAACTGATCGTGCACGGAGCAAGACTATTCTTGCAAGCCGCCTGTGATGACACAAGCGCACAGGGCTCCCGTCCCCAGAAACCTCGCAGAACAAAAGATTGAACACGACTCTTGCTTGAAGGCTCTCGCGGCCGTGCTTACTTTCAAATCCGAGGCCTGAACCCCGTCCCTAAACCCTAAACCCCGAAACCCCTAAACCCCTACACCCCTAGACCCTAAACTCCGAAACCCTAAACCCCTGCTGAACATAAAGCCGGCAGCAGCGGCACAACAGGGGCAGCTGATACGCTACTCACCGGCCCTAAACTTAAGTCGCCCTACTCCCTGCATCAGGGACTCCCGGTCACTGGGGCACTACTTGCTGAGCGACCCCGAACTCGTGTTGGAGACATTGCGCCGACGGCGTAGAATCAACACCCAGCAGCCTCAAGCTCCGGCAAGCGGCAAGGGGGGAGGGGGTTCACTGCACCATTCTTGGGGTTCCTATTTTTCAAAGTTGTCATTTAGTTCCTTGTTGAGTATAAATACTCAGACTCAGCAGAGTGTAAAATGATTTTCAACAATGACCCAGGTTAGGTGGGTGGAAAGGCTTTTATGGGCACCGAAACCCCAACTTCTAAACCCTAAACCCTAAACCCCAAAAACTAAACCCCAAAAACTAAACCCTAAACCCTAAACCCTAAACCCTAAACCCTAAACCCTAAACCCTAAACCCTAAACCCTAAACCCTAAACCCCAGCTTCAACTCGTTCGGGACCCCATTGAGACAGGAGCCCGCGCACCATGTTTAGGGGCTTTTTTGGGCACCCGACTAGCCACGCTGTGCCTGTTTAGGGTTTAGGGTTTAGGGTTTAGGGTTTAGGGTTTAGGGATGCAAAAAGATGCGCAAATCTGTTCACGACGTGAACTCTGCAAGCAAGTAGGGGGAGAGTCAACAGTGATGTCAAGCCCAAATCCGCCTAAAGCACGTGCCCACAAGCCCTCGCACCATTTTGCAACCCACACACTCGACCCCTAGGTAGCATGGACCTGTAGGCGAGGCCAAATTTCCATCTGCATTAGTCAGAAGCCTTACCCCAAGAGGCCCAGAGTTGAATCTATAAAGGTTTCTCTGGCTTCGCCTAGCAAAGGCTTGTGAATGACTCTCCTGGTATCCTTTCATGCCCCCCCCCCCCCCCCCCCCGACCCAGACTGGGAATCACTAAAGCTGATCTGTCATGTTTCTCTCTTGAGCTGTCTTTCTTCCCGCCCCGCTCCTTTGTCCTTCCCGTTCATACCACCACTTTCAGAGAAGAAAAAGAAAAAGTGAAAAGATGACAAAGGAAAAGGCAGGGAGATGGACAAGGACAACTCTTGCAATGTCTTCTTCTGTCTTTATCGCTCTTTTTCGTACTTCGGTCTTTTTTCTGAGCCTTTCCATCAGAAGTCAGAAGGGTCTTCCAGATGTTTGTAGCTGTTCCTCTTCCTTCTCTATTTTTACTTATCTCTCCTCTTCTTCTTCTTCTTCAACGCTTGACTCCCCGCGAGCCATGAGAGAAAAATCAGTTCGGGCTCCCCGGCTTCGGACAAACAAGAACGAAAGAACGAGGCATGAGGAAGGCATAACTTGGGGTGTTCCCCCTTATACTGACAGCCCTTCACAGGGATGATAGCATAGGGGGGCACTAGAATCCGTCTTAAGGACTGTTAGTATAATATGTGCCAACACATAGCCATATCGGCTCGGAAGGTCCTGCCTAAACAACCCCAAACCACTGCCATCCTAAAACCCCTTGCAGGATCTCTCCTTGGCTGCACTTAGGAGGGTGGCTATGAATTTAGTTTTTAGCTGCCTTCTTAAGAAACCCAATAAACCCAAAAAGGCTAAAGATGTACAGTTACAGTAAAGCACCACAAAGTCTCTGCAACCAGGCGCAGCAGAGGCTGTAGATCCCGGCTCCCACGAAG